GAAGCCTGGCGGACTGACGCTGTCGGCCTCGTCCGTGTCGCTCCATTACGGAAATGAAGGTTAATCACTCAACGAACAGTTAATATTTTCTATCAACTGTTAACTCAATAAGGAAATAATTATAAAATCTTACGTTGTCGTGCTAAATTACTTCGGTGTACTGGACCTCGTATTCGCAATTCACTTGCGCATGAATTGAATTGTAGCGTGCGACCGGTGCGACTCTAGCCGTAAGAAATAATCTACCATTGCTACAGTATGCTCTAGTTAAATTGTCACCGATATTTTTATATAACTTGAAAAATGTGCTAATCCGTAAACACTAGCAGGTTCCTACTTATTTTCTAATTAAATCTATTAAAACATCTTCAAATCACTCCATTTTTAGTGGATTGACAATAATTAATTTGTAAGCGTCTTTGTCGCACCTGCGACACATTTAGTAGGCACACGCTGTATAAACGGTTCAACTTAGTTCATTACCGTTGCCTTTCCGAGGTTGAGGCTGAGATTGTAAATAGAGGCTGTACAATAGACTATTATTATCTTATTATATGATGTATTATTAAGTCTCAGTGACATTGCAAAAGATAGCGAATGTTTACAGCCATTCGGAAATGTAATTTACATCACTAGCGGGTTAAAGTCCCGACCACTTCCCTAATACTTAACCGCACAGGTTTATACCATTACTCACTTAAAGGTGAATACTATAAAACTTAATCACCTTTAGTGACCTACTGAAATGGACTTCCTGACGAAAATGTCAAATGTTAACTGAGATAATAAGTAAGGGAGCGTGCACAGATTCAGTGAAGGCGACAAACCGAGGGCACTTGTAAAAGTGGGCAAATAAATAAATCTGTGAGAGATAAGTGCGGCCGAGCTAAGCTACTCGGCTCTCGCATTGGATAATCATTATTAAATTGAACTATCCACAAAACTCAAATATTTACACAAAAATATACAAATTACCTGACCATTACTCCTAAAGTATGTTCTAAAACATGCCAGATTAAAACAAACACGGGAAACAGTGCATACATTTATCTTAAAAATGTACTTTAAATAAAAGATTACGTGGTATCAACAGGAACAGTAAGTTATAACACGTGGTACCTAGCGTGGCTTAGGTACAACACTGTATTTATGAACACAGATGTTTTAATTCAATTGCGTTGCGATCGTAATTTTGCGAACACATGTTTTTATTGCAATTATTTTATAACGAAATTGGATTGAAATAATTCAATGTTGTAGGTATATTTAGTATTAATTGACCTTTGGCATTGTCCACACGCTTTGTGTAAATAGAGAGAGCAAGTTCTGTTCTATGCGTTCAGAACTGTACGACAGGTCAGTGGGATTTCGGAATTAATCTCTAAATACAAAGTTCTAGTTGTAATCTAAACCAAGGAACATTTGATCCAATATTGAACCAAATTACATTTTATCGCGACGTTACTAAGTACCTAAACATTATTTCGATGCACTAACTGCAATATGTTTTTGTAACATACTTTTTATATAGTAATTGATTCATAGTTACATTTTAATATATAGGTAGGTACATCGAATGAATCACCTGGTACGATGTTGAATTATTGTGGTCAAGTACAACAAAATATTAATTAAACTCAATACTACGTGGGCGCCGAACTTCTACGAAAAAGTGGGAAAATAGTTGCAGAATTTACTTAGATAAAACGATGACGTATAAAGTCGATAATTCTAAAACATCACACCAGCTCTTACGAAAAAGGATAAACAGTTATGAGCAGAGATAACTTGTAACATTAAAATCTTTATTCGCAGACACGTGGTAGGTAACAAAAACCAAAGGTAAGTCACTTATAATTTCTCCTCTTCAGTAGGAATGCGAAAATTAATACTTAGCACAAATGTTTAAATTTAGAACTCTTGGTACCAATCTATTTTCTAATTAATATACAAACTCTTCTGTTGTGTAGAAGCATGTACCTATTAAGTTTAAAGTTTGACTGTTTCTAATTGAACAGATGTAGATCTATGAATTACAAATAAATAACATATCACATTTACGGTAGCTGATCCTAGCTAGGAAGTAAATAATGTCAATGTTATGCAATTTTTATAACAAATTCTATATCCGATATCGCATGGTGACGATGCAGTCTGTTATGCTGGTGGACAAGGGCGGGATGCAATGATGATCCGCGTTTCAACACAGATAGATGTCACCGTACCCTAACTCCCAGGCCCTCGATTGACTGACATGGGAACAAAACTTGAAAACATTCTACACCATATAATACATATAATATATTTTTATGTTCTGTTTGTTACATTACATAACTGATATTTTATAGAGGTCAATGACCATACCCCAGTAATTAACAATTTGCATAGGGTATGAGATATACCAAGTAACCCAGCTGTTATAGGCATTGGTGTAGATATATGATCAATATCGCTGGCGATTGTTATTGACACACGCGCATCCGGTGTCCGAGTGGGCTCAATTGGTAAAATGACCGGTACCTACATATTTATTTTCATGAACACTGCCGCCAATGTGGTCTACATTATCTATGGACATTTATACTTGACAACCTTCACGTCTGATTTACGTTCCATCGACTGTAAAAATAAAAAAAAAATACAGGTGGAATCAACAAAATGCCTTCATATTGTTTACGCTCGTTTTTAAACTCTTTTTTATTACGTTAACCTTAACCAATTCATTTACCAATTAAAAAATAAAACAGTTAATTGAGAACCACAATAAAACTTCGGAAAGGTCATTAAGAAGTGTTTCTTGACATTTTGTTATTAACAATGAGTATGTATGGCTATAAATAAGGTAGGTAACATAAAAAAAGAATTGGCATAACACTCGAAAATACCTAGCCAAAGAATATCGTGACACTATAGACGGCTGGTTATACGCAAAAAATATTGACAAGTATTGCGAGCGAGACTTACGAATCGTTGAAACTTTCACAAAACTACGCGTTAGGAAGTTTTTGCCTGTGGCCTCTGAGTAAATCGGAACTAGCGAGTGGGACGATCGTCACTCGACACTGAACTACATCCTAATACAAATACAGTTAAATAAATAACATAGGAACATAGGAATTCAGTCAATACCTACAAAGTACGTCAAACACTTCAGTTTTAAGAGCATCACTCTTCGGCTTACTTTATTTTCCAAATTTAAATATTTTGACGTTCAGAATCCGATAACAAACTCTCGTCACGTCCATATGTTTGGAAATCATAAATGTAAGACAGGGATTCATCATTATAAAAATGTTGCTTTAAGTATTTCCAAGTAGAGCAGCGTGCGGTGGCTTCCCGATAAGATAACACTAATGTGATAGTTAAACAAGCTGTCAGCCCATCATTCGTGTGTCGAGAGGTGTTCACTCATCTCTCACGTTGAGCCAGACACTCAAACAAATTCACTTTACGAAAACTTATATATTTCGTGATGTCCGAATCAATACTATTATAATACTTTTTTAACTTTGAGCTTAAACTGTTTCAGCGAAGAAACAGTGAAAAATTAATGATTTAAAATAATAATTATGTTAACTGTACAAATATGTAAACATTCTGGTAGATTCCTACTTAATTAGTAATAGGTAAACGCCACGCCCCCTTGGCAGTAAACTAAATGACGCTGATGACGCGACAATGACGCTTATTCAGTTCCTACGCACACGTGGTTTTCATTAGACATCACTTTGTGGGAGTTTGCGGTATTTTTCTGTCATCGAAATGTACTGAAATATTACAAAGAAAATACCAGGTTCATGAGATCTTTGTACTCAAACTCACCTGCGGTGTATTACCTAAACCTGTTCATCTATCGATTAATACATATCTACTTAAATAATCAGATTTTAAAAGTTAATTAGATAACTGCAAAAAGTGTAATTTGTAACAAGTTCAGACTAGGAATTAGTTAATGATAATCATGATGACATGAACTGAATGCTATTCCAAACTTAGGAATTCCTTTGTGAACGACTTAAGAATTTTAATAGGCAGATAGCTTTGGTATTATACAATCTCAGATATGTTTGTGTATACCGACTTTCTATTCTTTTGTTTACGCAATGACATATTTTGTGCTGTCAAATTCTAATAAGCAGCTTTATATTTAGTTAACTCAATAAATTGATATGAATGATTAATGGTAGGGTTTAAAATATTTTAATCCACACCTTACCATAATTGGCATTAGAATAAAAACACAAACAATGTCTGTAATGTTTTTTTGTACCTATATAATTTTTATTTTCCTTCTTTAAAGTCATAATGATGGCTCATGAACTAGGTAGGTACGTAACTTTGGTCGTAACAATGTGCACGGTAGCTGTAGGACTATATCTTAGTAAGCATAGACACAGAGAAAGAAATACTAAAGACAATGTAGACATACAAAATAGGTAAGCACTATAAACTTTATACTCTGTACTACTTATTCTAAATTTAAAATTATGTCTTTATATTTTAGGTCATTAATATTTTTTTTTTAGTTTGAATAAATTATAATGACAAGAACATCCTGAATAAGCGTGTTAAAAAAACATTTCTCCTATAAATAACCAGTTGCATTATGTGATATCGTCAGTTATCAGATCAGCTGGTCCAGTAGTCGATGATTCTGGGTCAGTTAACAATCGGCCTAATGTTTGTGTGTCAATGAACGGCAAATAAAAAACAACAGCACTTTTATAAGTCGCGTACACTTTTCTAACATTTTTCATCGCTGATCTATTTTTGGTTTCTGGGAAAACTGACTAAACTTGACTCTATGAACAAACCTACTACTGAGCGACTAGTTAAGTAGATAATGTTAATATCTTATGCACAGAGGAAAACGTTAACTGGCTAGTTGCTAGCATAGAAAGACTTTATTATTATGCAGTTCTTGTAAATTGGAAAAACCATGTTCGAACCGCAAAGCGATGTGAAAGGAGTTAATGTCTAATAAGTTGTTTAATTTACAGGTCCTTCAACATGGACGGAGAAATTCCCAGAAGCTCGTGGCGCTCGCCAGAGCCCCGTAGATATAGATACGTCGAGGATAAGCAGTGGAGGAAGTGCACCACCCCTCAAGTTGAAGTACTCCGTCAACCATCCCCGATCTGTGGTCAACCCCGGCTATTGCTGGAGGGTAGACGAGAATGGATATGAATCAGGTAGGTTTGAAATGCTTAGAACATCATTTAACCTATTCGTCTATTGAGCCATTTATTTTATTTAGGCTTTCAAATATGTATCAACTTTCCTTACTCGGCTTTCGGAACCAGCTTTCCAAAATTTATGTTTTCCGTAAAAAATCTCTTTTCTCTTTTTTTCACCGAATAGCACAAACTTGTAACAAGTTTAGTCATTGGATTACATCCAACACAAGTTTTATGGTAACTAAAACCACACCGCAAATGTCAATTTAAGTACTTCTCGTACTGATTGCTTTTTGTAGCTGACACTCAGACCATTACAATAATAATAATTTTATTCAAAAATCTTAATATGATAATAAATAATGTGAGCCATTCATGTAGGAAACACTAATAGTTTCGCCGAATGTAAATTTTAATACAGAACGACTCTACAAAAAACTGTTTTGCAAGGTTATCACTCTCATGATTTATTGCTTTTTTGAGAATTTTAATGATACATAATTATCATGTCTCCTGTGGTCATGCGAGTGGAATACCTTGATATGACCTATAAAAATGGCATGTTTGATAATGCATAAACTGCAATAAGTCCAATGGATTAAATGATGAACGTGTAAAAGGAAGTTGCAAGTCCGCGTGTAAAGTGACGGCCAATTTGCATTTCCATCGACACGATGAGCGACGCGGCGGCGGCGGCGGCGTACCCCTCACGATGACTCACTACATCATTCGTTCCTGTCCCACGCAATTTCGGGAACACCTATTTGCATGTGTACATTAAGTGTCCTGAAAATGAAAGGGTTCCTCCCCAATTGGGGGATATTTGCACGCTTTGAATGACGTCAGTTCTTACCTACCTCTTTTTAATCCTATGTACTGATTTCAAAATTAGTAACGTCCATTATTCGATTCAGATTATTATACCTCTACGGCTTCTTGGTGAAGAAATTCTTTATTTAACTTTCAACGTATTGCTTTTCGATTTCACTGAAGTGAGTAAACATAAAATATTTAATGAACCGGTTTTTTGCAGAATTACGAGGTGGTCCTCTTGGCCATGACGTGTATAAGCTGCAGCAGTGGCATTGTCACTGGGGCGCAGTCAATGGTGAGGGTTCAGAGCACACTGTGGACGGCCGCTCCTTCTCCGGTGAATTGCACCTGGTCCACTGGAACACCACAAAATACAACAGTTTCCAAGAAGCTGCCGGACAGCCTGATGGGCTTGCAGTACTAGGCGTACTATTAATGGTGAGTCTTCTAGAAATGCAGAAAATACTGTGAAAGATGTGGTGTTGCTTTATTGAGAAAATTTTAGCCTTAATGATTATATTTACTGATCGTAACTTCAGTGTTCTTCAGTGTTTCGGTGTTTTCAGGGTTGTATCTAAAGTAGATCGGCTTTGGGAAGTTGTGGAGGGTTTGTCTCATAATTCGTTATTTATCTGTTTTTGTACAAATTATTTTAGTCATATGCTCTAGCTGTGACTTATATTACAAGAAGGTGTTCTTAATTAAGTAAAACTTACTCTGTAAAATTTAATGTTTCGTGGACATAGTTTTAGTACATAGGTATATTAATAAGTAGGTTAAAATAAAATACATAAGAAGCCAACAATGTACATAGTACTGAGGAAGTGAAGCGGTTGTTTACCTAAATGCTCTTTATAAGTTCACACAATGAGCATAATGCATTCAATAAAACTGTATTATGCAATAGCTGACATAATGAATGGGAGAAAATACACGTGTCTGGGTCAAATTGCATACAAATTGTAATAAAATAGAAATCATAGCATATGTGGTACCTAAGGAATTGGAACAGGGCATGATATGGCACCCACAACATTGAGGAGTTACTGGAGCATTGCCGGACTGTTGAGGTTTTTGAGGATCAGGGGATGAAAAGGGGGATTTTTCGTCCAACTAAAATTGAGCAGTCCAATTGAAACCCTTATCTAGTAATTTGCTTAGATACGTAATCACTTTAATTTACTTCAGACGTATGTATGCATATACGAGTCAAGCACCTATTGTGTTAACTTGTAGCGTTCGATATAAAAATCTGAGATTAAAATAATAAATATATCACAAAGTGAATTGATTTCATACACGGCTACCTTTTATAAATGAGAGATGAGTGCGATAACGAGCTCTTTCACACTACAGAGTAACTTTCTCTCGTCAAATGCGAACAACGGCATCACTACAACTTTGACAATAAGATTATTTAAACATTTCACTCCGTGCTCTTTTTTCATGCCTTAAGGTATTTAAAACTAACTTTCTGCCTTCGCTAGCAGATTAGTACGTGTAATTTAGATCAATCTAAAATCAATATACCAACGGAATCACGACCAATGGACATAGGTGTCCCATACGTTAAAATCTGGAAAGTAAACTATTCAACATTTTGAAGCCTATCTATTTAATGTAAAAAATTAACTGATCAATAAAATTTTAATTCCTTAAAATAGTAAATTAATAATATGGATTAGCTATCCTTGTTCGCTATGTGGGTTACACAACAACGTCGCCGTCGCGGACAAAAACACATTCACACAAACTCCAAAGGAAAGCATGTTTGGCATATGGCATAATCAGAAAACAAGTTATAATTAAAATTACTCAGAGTAGGTACCCATATAACAATTGTAAATAATCTCTCCCACAATTTTGGAACTGTTTACAATTTCACTTTTTTAAATGTTCAGCGAGTAAGTAAATACTAGGATACGTCTTTTATGCAAACGCCCTTAATGTGGATTCAGATTTCCGAGCGTTCCAAGTAGTTACATATGTAGGTATGTGGGAATTTTATGTGAATTTTATTCCTATGACAAAAATACTAAGTGTAGATACTTATTTTGCTGTTAATGTGGGTGTAAGCGCAATAATTTACCACGGCTCCGGCCTTTTTTTTGTTAGGAGAAAATCATCAAATGACTTCTCCCACCCAGGGTAAAGCGAGAGAGAGTGTCAGACTCTTACTCATTAAAAATCCCCCCGTTCCTTCTCCTGCTCGGGGTCGAGGCTGCGGTGACTTATTGCGCTTAACCCGCAACCCCGGCTGAACATCAGCCCTATAGGGCCCCGTCTGTGGTGGTCTATTGGCTCTTTGAGGCGCGCCCGGAACGCTACGCGCTGTACGCCCGGGTCTGGTTCTGGTCGGGCGGCGAGCTACCCTTCAGAGATCATATCTCGACCACGGCTCCGGCCTGGAGCAGAAGAAGGAAGGGTGTGGTTTTTAGTCAGTAAGAGTCTGACACTCCATCTCACTCAACCCAGGGCGGGACCAGGCTTTTCCTCAAAATGAAAAAGTACTTGTTTGAAGCTCTCAAAATAGAAACATGTAGTACATAGACCTAAAAAGATTCTGCTAAGCCAATATTGCACTTCTATGCGAAGAAGGCGATTATGTCACTGAAGCCTTACAGCAAAATCCTGTTAACTGCATTGTGTTATTTATTGCAGTGCACATGTCAACCTGCCTACATAGTTGATAGCTAATCTTAGCGTCTAGTCATAGACATCAATATCTATTAACAAACATGGCGGTGCCCATAAACATGACATTAGAAAATTACAGCTTAAGAAAAGATCTAATAACCTACTTCTGAATTTATTGTTTAGATAGGTATATAATTTTACAGTATTATGCCAGGTATAATCTAGCTTAGTCAGTTAAGTAGGTACTTCAGACGTTTTAATATAATCCTCGGTAACAGGTCGCAATCTGAATACAATAAGGCTCATTTAAATTTTACTTCATAAACACGTTCTTCAACAATGTCACTGTAAGTGTAGCGAATTATAGCAACAATAAGTCTAAAGTCCTTAGTTCTTGAATTGAATTTTCGTATTTTTGTATAAATACAAATATTTTATAAATTGTAATTTGCCTTTACAGGTCGGTTCGAAGCATGACGAATTGGACAAAGTGATTCGGTTGCTGCCGTTTATTACGCATAAGAACGACAAGGTGACACTGTCTGACCCCCTGGACCCCGTGAAGCTGCTCCCGCCGCAGTACGCGTACTGGACATACCCTGGATCCCTCACCACCCCACCTTGCACAGAATCCGTCACTTGGATCTTGTTCAAGCAGCCAGTTGAAGTGTCCGCTGATCAAGTGAGTCTGACATTTGAAATAAACCATTTACAACGCACGCAACATACTTTGTTTAATTATAGGGTTTGATAGTGATTCTTCGTCACATTTGTAATAGTTGATAATACTCAAGTAGACTGATAGAGCATATCTATTTATCTAGCATGTGACGACAAAACTTTGCTATTTCAAGATGAAAATACTTCCTTAGGATTAGTACCTATCTATTTTCCGTTATGACCAAATAATGAGATTCTAATTTTAAAGTTATTTCAAGCGAAACGTTTATTTTAACAGAAATTGTCACTGATAGATATTTTCGTTATAATGCGGTTAAATTATAAACCTGTCTATAACAGCTAGTTTAAAAAAATCTTTACCAAATTATAAATGTATTTATGTAGATAGGTACTTGAATGTATGATGCAACAGAACAAACAGCTAGTACATAAACGATGTGTCGGTAGTTACCGGTTTTCGATACACAAAACGGTCAAGTATCTGCGAGCCAAATAATAGCAGACGTCCGCGCATGGCCTACTTTAGCATCTACTTTCCAAATAATCATGTGGAATATGTTTCTAAATGCATATTGCAGTAACGCCTGATTGCTTGCTAGAAAGAATTTACAAACGTTCGACGCGGACTCTAATTACAGTTTTAAATTAACTTCCTCTTGTGCTACTTTATACCAAAAAAAGTTAACAATAAAAAGAATTGTAAATTAATCGCAAATCTGATTGGATTTCAGTTGGCATCGATGCGGAAACTGAAGTGCGGGGAGGCGTCGTGCGGCACGGAGGCCATGGAGGTCCTGCACAACTACAGGCCCACGCTGCCGCTCGGCAACCGCGAGCTGCGCGACTACGGTTCGGGCAACTAACAGCGCCACCACCACACCACGCGGAATCACGATTCAATCAGACTCAGCGCTGCGAGAGCGCAGCTGCTCCTGAAACTAGTGCCTCTATTCGCATTCCGGCGAGCTAATCTAACGGAAGACACGTGGGCTACGTAACTCTTATGAATGGTGCCTACGCAATTTAGTAAGTTCCGTAGGTATAACACGAATCTCGTCATAGCTATGTATGTAGAACCTAGTTATAGCTGTAAGAGAAAAATAATCTCGGTGCCTGAAGGCGCCTCTTGTGTTCTCACACCTTAAAACCAAGGAAAAAAATATGTTACTTTAGAGATTCGATGCGTAGTTCTTCCTATTTGGATTTCAAACAATAAAACACATTCGCATTTATCACGTTAATCAAGGTAACCATATCTAGTACATATTAGGTATATGACTATGGGAGTTGAGATGTGTGTGCATAAGTTTATATGACTGCAGCTTACCTGTGCAATGTGCATGTACACTGTAGCCACGATTACTTAGTTATCAAGTGCCTCTACAAGTTAATAATCGAATGTTATTTATATTGAAATTTATATTAAATGAAATATATAAATAGCATTTATAATTACAATTTAAGATCACATACTTACATAATAAGATAAGCAAATTGAAAATGTATTTAATGATATTTTTAAGACATTGTGAATCAAATTCATAATATTATACTTAGGTACCAACGGAGGTACTAACGTAATTAAAATTTATAGCAATTAACGTATGTGTATATTAATTTTAAAATTAATTTTCTTTACCTTTATTACATTGATACTGAAAATACTGAGAAATGAAATGGATCAAATGAAACATTTTAACGCCCATACTGGGGTGTGAGTGAGATGGCATTATATTAGATGTTTTGTCGCGGTTTCCTTCCATTTTCTTTTTCAGTTTGCTAGTTCCAAATCTGGACACGTGGCACTGTCCAATCTTAAAACATTTCCCAGCTATAGACGGGTGTAAGTAAACGTCGATAATATTTAATCTTCTGAACTAAGTTAAGATTGACATGAAAACCTTCCATTGATATGTCTCGAATAATTAAAATGATCGTAGATATTTGTATTAGATCTACCTACTCTTTTATTTTAGTCACCCCAAAGACATACAAGATCTGTAGTTACATTTGATCCAAACAAATAATAATTTCAATTTATGCTAGGTCACTGATCTCTTTCTTTTAACTGAGTTAAAAGTAGTGGCAGGCTTGTCACTAGGTAGGTCGACTGTGGTCAAACAGTGTCTTGACTGAACAACTTACATAATACGTAAATAAGTTAAGTATTGTATGTACCTTAAAACAAGAGTGCCTCAAATGTATAAACGTCATAGTTATGTTAACTGGGACGTCATACGATAAATTTTAATGTATTTATGTTATTAATAAATAAGGTGTCGATGAAGCTTAAAAGCAATGTACACAATAAACATAATATTTAGTAATGTTTTGTTTTATTTGTAACAGCACGCTTGGTACCTATTATAATCCTACTCTACAATTGGGAATTAGTACCTATACTCGGAATTTTAATTCCATTCCAGATTTGACAATTTCAGTGTTACAACGTTATTCGATGTGGAAATCGAATATTTCTGAATAGATTCCTTTCGTTTATAAATCTACTCTCGTAAACTAAGTTTATCAGGAAATAAAATATTTCTGAACCGATTATTTAGTTTTGACAATTAATTAACGATCTGAGACTTTTCTTTTGTAATTGTGTGTAAAATTAATAAAAAATGTGATCATGAAGGAACATAACAAATAAAACAGACATTTTATAAATTGTCGCCGTCATCGCTATCGCTATCGCTATTACTTTCTGTAACATTTATTATGAATTGGGTCTGTGATTTTAATTGTCAATTAACATATCTAGCTTACTCATTTTTTCCTCTTCTTTGACAACATGGGATACGCATTTAGACCATTCGGTAGCCGTAATTTTTTGAATGCCTCCCTGAAACTGATTTACCTACTGATTGTTTATCGATTTTTGTGTTCATCACTACACTGTTCTATGTGGTATCATTATTCCACAAAATGACAGCAGGTCATGTCAAATCAGGAATCGAATTAAAATTCTGACTATAAGTGTTAGATAGTAATAACTAATCCAGCTGATATCCCCGTTAAGCTCAAACATACTTACTTACTAAACCTTTAAATGGTCAAATAAAACAGGAAACAAACATCAGTTCACGATAAAGTCATTAGCGAAGCGAGAAGGCAGGACATCACAATTTTTGGCAATTTAGGCCCGGGTTGTGTCACGGGAATAGGACAGCACACGATGGTAAATTCACTACAGGGTCAGGATAGATTTTAAGCATTAGGTTAATAAATGTTCCAGTCTTTTACAGTACACTGCAGATTAGCAGAACACACGTAGGAGACTGGTTTGATTCGTAGAACTGGTATACCTAATAGGTACAGTACCTTTATAGCAAATAACAACTACCTATCTTAATAGATACATAAAATGTGGACAAAAATGTAGTAGCCTAAGTAAAAATTTTTGTATTTTGACTATTCACTATCAACCTGGGTGAGAAAAGACTTCCTCCTCCCAAAAAATGTGTGGTTACCTACCTCCATATTATACGTGCTGAAAATTTCACCGCGGAATGAAAGCGGTGATGTTAGATATATGATGTTGAATAGGTTTTTTTGGCAAAGAAAAGCAAACGACGCCATCTAGATTTAAGGACGGACACCCGCAACACCAAATAGAGTAGGTACAAATGCGTTGCCGGCCTTTTAGAGATTGGATATTTGGAGATTGAGGATCGCGGATAGCTAAAAGGGAAGGATTACACCTCAAGTAAGTATGTAACCGTAGGTAATAGGTATTAACTACCTATCACTCAGGTTGAGATTTTTTTGTACCTAGAGGAAAATCATCAAATGACTTGTAACGCCCAGGATTAGGCGAGAGAGAGTGTCAGACTGTTAGACTCCTAATTACTCGCCCCCCCCCCCCTCCTCGTTCCGGCAAGCAACCCTTAGAATTGGGTATTTTCCTAGGCCAAAAATAAATTATTTCGACGTTTCAATACAATAAAATATTGAAAAATAACTATACTTTTATTCATCGATCGATCGATACACTAATTTTTAGATTTTGTTTGGCTAATTATTAAGAAATAAGTAAGCTATTTGACGCAAAAAAGTTATGACGTCATAGCTCAGTTTTTCATATAAATTTCATAGAAAAGTATTGTTTTTGACGTTTGGATAAAATTATTAAATTTGACTACTTGGAAACTACCGTATTAGATATTCGCCGTCCGCAGACCCGCGCTTAGGTATGGTGGCCGGAGATCGTCTCTTGATCTCAGACGCCTATCGCCTACTACGGCGACTGGGGCGTGAGGAGGAGGATAGCTTCCTCGAGCGCTACGCCTCCTTCTTTGCAAGCATCACTGCTTCACAGAAGGAGGCAGAAGGATACGGCGGTGCTCAGCCCAGGCAGGGCATACCGCTACCGTATGCAAGTAGGTACCTTAGTTAAAAATTGAATTTGCGACGCTTATTTGTTCCGACCATGATTTAAAATTCATGTTGTAGGTAAGGTTAGTTAGTCACCTAAGGACCTATATCTCAGACACCTACTACTAATAAATAAGTATAAGAACTAAAACTAAAGTATAAATACTAACTAAAACCTACTATAAAACCATCATATTTTATCCCCGGTTTTAATTTTGTATTTACAAGTATACCTACATATAAACAGCACAGCTGAACGTGTTCTATCACTGAAACTGTATTGGCTTGCTGTGAAAATATTTGTATTTACCTATATCTACATAGTGTAACTATGATATAGATGGATAACTACACCATACGACAATTATTGTATAAAAAACTATCCCGCTTTGTAAGATTCTCTATATATTATACTTAACAGTGTACCGACAAGCATTTTGACTTGCCACTACTAATTCTCCTATTTATTTCGTGCCCTGGAAATGGAATGGCCTCTCCGTAATGCTGGTTGAACTTCAAAGGACAAACATCTAATCACCGAAAGTGCGATAATGAAATTGGACTCATAACAATATAATACAAATACCTACGCAACACAACATATAGATAATACGTTACTAAGTGCTGAACTGAAACCAGTCCTTGTCACGACACACGATAATCCATGTTACGTATGTAATAATTTTACATTTACCTATTTGTGGGTATACATACTTTTGTCTGCACGATGAATTCCCAGAATATGCAGGTGATAGTCAGGAATAGTTCTACCTTTTAATCTAGTAGGTACCTATGTACATCACTATTTTTAAAATTTTAACACCCATACACTCAAGTCACTTTTGACAAAATCTCCTTGAATGTTTTTTATAGTGTGGGAGAGCCATGCTTCGGCACGAATGGGTCGGCTCGACCGGAATTATACCACCGCCTCACAGAAAACCGGCGTGAAACAACCACAACGTTGTGTTTCGCCGTGTGAGTGGGGTTACCGGAGGCCCAATCCCTTCCCAATCCCAATCCGTAAATCCCCAAAATCCCAATCCCTAAAAGGTCGGCAACGCACTCCTTCTTTGTTGTGAGTGTCCATGGGCGACGCTGATTGCTTACCATTAGGTAATCCGTCTGCTCGTTAGCCGTCCTATCACATAAAAAAAAAACTTACACTGGGCTAGCTAAGTATTTGAGGTATAAAAAAAATCAAGATGTTCGTTTAATACAATTTAATGGACGCTTGTTCGCACAAAGCACCAAATATAATGTTTTTTTTTCTAAAACAAGCATTACTCAAGCACTAAATATATAATTTGTTCTATTTTGTTGCTAATGAAATATACGACATTGCCCCATGAGAGTAGCTCGGTTTATACATAAATACTATGTATATATACAATTATCTTACCATAAATGGCTTTCAAAATGCTATACAGTATCAACATATTTATTGATTTTGGTCTAGATATTGTATAAAACTTACAAAATTTATCAATAAATTTATAAAAAACTCGATGTAGACTTATATTTTACATACATTCTAAAAATCACGGTAATGAGTAGGTCAATTCTAGCTCTAATTATATAAAAAATATATAAAAAATCTTTGTATTCATAATTTCTAATCATAGATGAATGTATTTATTGAAATATATTTCAAATTACCAGCTAAACATCATCGCAATTAACTTACAACTGGCAAGTTATTAAATAATTAATAATTATAAATAGGTGGGATTCATTTCCAGCTACTGGTTACACTAAAATTTAATCAGATCGTCACTGCCGTCATCAACAGTTGTGCTGGCAGAATTGGTAGTAATCTCAATAGTAGGGTTTTGTATTTCTACATTTTTTGGTGACACTTTTCTTCTAGGGGGAATTGGAGCTTCATCGAGAATACCTGTTATACCTAAATTTCTACTCTGTTCAGCAAAAACCTTTACATCTTGATTTATTTCAACACGTCGACTGCTAGGTGATAACTTCGTTCTGACAGGTGGACTCGGAGCAGCTCTGGAGTAGAGCGGACGATTGTCAAATATAGTCTTGTCAATCGGATTTGCACTACCAGGTAAAAGAGCTGATGTTTTGCTTCTCTCGAGTGAATAGACTTCATTGGAATGCTCTCGTTTCTCAGTAACCTTTTTATAGTCATCAGTATAAAATGTAGATTTTTGAGAGTATTCTGCATGAAAATGTTTATGAGCCTGAACATCTGATTTGCTTCTTTCGAGTGTAAACGCGCCATTTGTGTGGAGATGGCAACTGAATGAACTGGTGTTGACAGTGCAAGCAGGAGCTGTTGAGAATGGTACTGATGGAGCCCACAAACATGCTCCCTCATTTCTTGGTACCAGGAGGAGAGGATCCTAGAACATAATATTGAAAAGTGACAAATATTTAAAGTGGACACAATACAACAAACTGTTTTATTGGCTTAGCTGCAAAGACTACTGATAGCCTTTAATTTGGATAAAATACCTTTAGACTCTGTCATTAGATTATTTTACAAAGTGTTCCTTTTATCTTATCAGTATTGTAGAATTGTCACTAACAAATACTTGAGATAAGAATTTTTGGGACCTCAACATGTTAACTGTTAAGATTAATTAATAAATAATTATTAATATGTAATAACATTTACATTACCTTTCCAGTAATTGCATATATTTTAGACTGCAGTGCATGAAGTCTGTTACGTAGATATTCATATGAGCTCTGCCTTAGTTTCATGACCCATTGAACCACATTATCTTCGGCACGGGCTGCGAATACATGTCTTTTTTCTGGTTCATCTCTGAAATATTACATTAATTATTATAAAACTTATTCTAGTAAAGTTGTATGGCTATTATTATAGGGTGCCTTGAACTTAGTTTTGGTCCTCATCAAACAGTTATGTGTGGAAGCCATTCCACATAATAATTGATTTAGATACTAAACATTTTTAACAATTCCTAATTATGCCTAATGTAATTAATTAAAGCACAGATTATAGACTTGTTAAATTTAAATAAGAAGTAGGTTCTTATTATTTGAAAAAATAATTGTATGTAAATATTAAGTATGTATACATAAACCAATTTAGTGCAAATTTTTTGTACACAATAACTTTTTTATTTTTATGTATCCAGTCTAAATCTTTTAAATACATGAAAAGCATAAATATTTTAATTTACAAAACAAACTTACATAAAAGAAATAGAAAATGAAAATGGTATGCTCTGCCCATGTTCCATTTGTATGGAAGAATTCTCTAATACAAACATCCCAGCAGGACATTTTGTATCAAATTTCCCCATTTCACTTATTTTGAAATAAAATAAATAATTGTTAATCAGCCGAAACCATCTCTCTTTGAACACTGAAAAAAATATAAAACTTTATGTAACAAAAATCAAAGATGTACATTTCGAGAGAAATTATAATATTAACTAATCACAACAATTTATATTAATACATGATGGTTGTCAAGACTAATTTTATACCTGCCCGGACTGACTATTAGTAAGTTTTTATTCTTTTTGGTGAAACAATGCTACCAGTAATTTTTAATACAATGGATATGCATGAGTGTGTCGGAATTAATATGTAAGATAGGATATATTAGGAAGCTACATTTTACTAAAAGGACTTCGTGACTCATTTCAAAACCAAGGAAAATATCAACCAACAGAATTAAAAATAGTTTGCACAATCACGATTTTCCTGTCTCTCACCTGTCTGATTGCGATAACTGCCATTGGAAATCTTTTTATAGTTTAATCTTCCTTCTATCACACAAGGTTGGTCGCTCAATTGAGCAAGTTCACGAATATTGCATTTCATTTGTACATAGAGTGTTAAGATCTGCTAAGAAACATAAATAAACTCGAAGATTCGACACAAACTTCAACAAACACCACTATGAATCGATGCCACCATATCATCAAATAATTAGATTTAATTTAATCATAAAGATTAATTCTAATTTTGTTTCCAGTAAGGAAAATAACGTACAAAATCTGGCAAATTGCCTCTTGTTTCAGTCAGTGTTTCAATGACAATTTCACGCACAACGAAATTACGAAAGTGACATTGTCAAAGGCTGTCAGCAGTTTATTTTTCTTCATGAACAAGAATGAGGTTTGGAATCCAGTATTTTGGCAATAAAGCTTTTTTCTTAGAATTGTTTATCTCTTAATTAATGTGCCTCTATTCTTTGTAATCATCGCCAAGTTGAATTTTACCAATATCAATGATAATCCAATTTATTAGAAAGAGATTTGCAGCATCATAGACTACTATTATATGCTGACCGAAAAACTCGGAAAGGTGGAAATCTGAAGGTGTAAGGTCTGGCCTATACGGCGGATTCATTAACACCTCCCAGCCAAACTCTCTTATTTTTTACTCAGTGGCTAAAGATGTGTGAGGTCTAACGCTATCATGAGTGATTGATGAGTGATTGATGAGTCGGTCCTGCCTGATAACAACTCATAATGAATACTGTTCTGTGAATAATGCCCTCCCAATCCCACTACACACACAGCATCACCTTGTTGCGAGTCAACCCAGGTTTCGCCATCTGTAAAGCCAGACCGGCCTTTGACCACGACCTTTTTTGCACGCTCTTACTCGATCCACTTCATTACAAGCTATGCTTAACGTACCATACTAGTCTCACAATCACTGCACTATTCTTTAAAGGTCCATAAACGGCTTGGATTGCATTTTTACCTTCTGTTATAGTAACATTTTAAAATGTAGGTACTTATCGAATTTCTTCATTAGATTCACTCATCTTGATAGTGAGATATGGCTGGCCTGGGAATCGAACCGCAAGCCGTTTGGTAGTCGCGCTTGCCACCGAAAAACGAAACAGATTTAGTACATTTATTACATAATGTTAGCTTGAAACATAAATGAATAAAACACACATTATAATTATTCGTTTATTTTTAACTTTTAGTACAAAATAAAACTAGTACACAGGGATACATCTCAAACCTAGCATTTGCATGTTGAATAGTCCGAGGCTTACGACGATAAGTCTTCTCATTTGTACTATTTTAGACACTATAACGTCACACAGATTAGCTCATTATTTCCCCATCAAAAAATAAAATTAATCATAACTGAATAATGTAATCACTCTTCGAGTTAATCCGACCAAAATAGATGTTTTATTGCCGACATTACACTATATTACTATTGGTACCTACATCAGATTAGATTTTTAAGCTTACTTATCAATATACAAATACATAATTTTGAGGTTTGGAGCGGCATTGATGAGTTTTCAGGCACAATCAAACCAGTGCACCCCAATGTTTAAAATACATGAAACGACACTAGGTACTAAACACTCGTACTAACCATTAAGTATCATATAATTTAATCGTGGTTTAGAATTTAGATATTCAGAGTCGTATATGTATTATAAACATGTCTGAAATTTCGCATTTACAGAATGTAATATTCATCGATCTCAAGTGATTAAAACTGCTGCTGTAATTATTACCTATTACAATCGTACAATTCTCGTGTTCTTTTTTCTTCAAAATCTTACCTAATAAAAAACATTACACTGTGTACAGTAAGTAAACATACTGTACAAAAATAACTTAAAAAATAGAACCGACTTCATTGACGTCTCTCTTAGTGGCCGTAGCCGTAATATTAAATAATAAAACTAATATGTCTGATAATCCCAGAGGAACCAGTTGTTCCAAAAATCTAGATTCATGTGATTTAGAGTTAATGAATTAGTGAGCCTTGATTTATTGTGGATACATTCTTATTTATATCTGCTTACGTCAGTGCACATTATTTAATAAGTCTTATGATAAATCGTTACAAATACGATCTAGCTACCTATGAATTATTCTGAAACGAATATAATTTCTAAGCTTTCCGATATTAATACGTTATGCGCGTTCTGACTTCTAATCGTATGACTAAATTTTAAAATATAAGGCTGCATTGCCCTCTCAGTGAAGCTATTATAACAAATGTGACTGAAGTCCACAGTTAACTTCCAATTTAGACCCTGTATTAAGGTATTTACAATATATTGCAAGAATGTTCTTATATTTTCAAGAACTAAGTTAAATAAAAGGGTGAGCTACTGTAAAGATACATTAGCTCATTCTTGTTCGACGTTATTATAAGTTATCAAACATAATTTTGGTCTTTCACAATCTGCTATAATAGCTACAGCTGCCGGGTTAATTAGGAAACAAGTCGGTTCTTAAAACGCTTAATACACGATCACATTTATACAGTTTCGAATTACTTACACAAATATTTTGTAAATTGCTTTACCGACTGAAAGTATAAAACCGTATTCACTATTTTCGAATATCAACAATGACTTCAGAAACCGCATTACATAACAAATTGCTTATTTTTGTTAAATCTTATTCCTAAGAGGCGGATAATCGTCATGAGCGAAAAAAAGTTTATTCCTAAGTTACTCGTGATTCGTGACCAATTTGTTTTAAAGTAACTTCAAGATAAACCCCCAAAGGAACGCAGATATGTGTTGGAATACTAAGGATACAGCCCCAAAGAAAAGATACATGGACAATGAAGCAGGGTCTCTCAAGGTATGTTTGTAGGCACTGACGTGGCTCAGTGCCATAGGAACTGTTGCTAGCCGCCTCCTTATTCGTTCATTAACGAACTTCTTACCATACACTTAATAATGTAAAATATTCCAATTGACTGGTCAATAGTATAGCAGTGTATGTGACTAATCAGTTATCGGTTGTTATCATCATAAACTCGATAAAGCATAAACAGATTGAAATCAGCAAAATTCTACTAATTTACATATTCAACATGGATTATTGGGGGCATTTACAATATTGATACATTTAGGCACGTCGCCAGAAACTCTTTGGTCCTATGATTACAGCTACAATGTGTATAAAGAAATACAACTAGGTACATTATTATGTGAATATATTTAGTCGAAGTAAACGTAAAAGATTTAATCGATTTGTATGTACAACCCAAGGTACTTTTTGCGTTTAGCTCTGGTCATAAATAATAATTGAATAAATTAATATTCAAATATTGTATGTCATGCAAATATCGATTTCTATAAATTGTCATAAGTATTAGAATCCATGATTAATGTATTAAAAATGGTTTTAAAAGAAGAAAATTAAAACCTATTAGGTAAAATGCCTGTAATAGGCTTTCTAATACTTTTACCACAGAGCCTTTAGAATTTATGTATAAAAGTACAAAATGTTTATGTTATGAATTAAATTTTGCAGTATAGAAGCAAAATTGCGCAGTATCAACAGTCAGAAAACTATAACAACTCGGAACAAACCTAAAACGGCATTCTATTTATTAAGTACCAATTTACAGAAATTGTTTATAAATATGTATAGAGCCACGAACAACATGTGCACGTATACTCCCTTACTGCTAATACGGAGAAGCACACATACATACTTTTACTGCAACTGTCGTACATTTGACTTGGAAATGGGGCATAGTATTATCTAAAATAATCCCGTATAAAAATAGCGTGTTAATTTACACTATGCAATATCTACTGTTTATCTGCACCATGATGTTTCTCATCGGAAACTTTAACATAAGTTATGTCGGATTTATTGTTATTTAAGCTTTTTAGTTATATATACTGTACAGTTTAGATGACTTCATAAATCGATTCTTTACAATCTAACCAACTACCTAATGTGGTCATCTTCGAAACAGCGCTGTCCCTAAATGTACAAATTAGTTAAGTTATTGTAATCATATTGAAAAGATAACAATAATGGTGCTTTGTGTATCACAGGGCGATTAACGACCTCATTACATCGAATGTGACATCATGAGATACCTACCTCAATCTGTTTTACAATGACAGTAATTGCACTATAATTTACTAAAGAGTTCCTAATGCGATATTTTTCTGATTCGATACGTAAGAAAATTCATAATGATCTATTCTATACAAACTCGACATAAGTAAGTACACTAAAATTTAAGATTTCCCAAAGACATGATTAACATTATTCAGACAAGAGCTTCCGTAACATCGACAAACAAAACACATAAAACAACAAACATTCACCAAACGACCGGCGCAAGAATGATCCGCTGCAAATTCACGAATCATGTATTTCAAACTCTAAGACCTAAATGAACACATGAAATACAATCCGCCACAGCGCCAACGTCTCGACGTCACCGACTGAATCGGTGATATAAAACTACCATTAAATAATTACACATCTTAAACGTAAAATAAACTCAATAATATACATAATTACATTATATATTCGAAAAAAATAACAAAAAATCGACAGTCAACATCCGAGGGGGAGTCGAGCGGGGCGGGAGCGACCCTATTTACATAGAATACAATCTAACGAGCGTCCGAGCGTCCCCTGTCGGCAGTGCTAGTTACATAATTGCGCTAGTGCGGGCCCCACGCGCTAGGGCTTGCGGCGTCACATGGGCGGGCGCTCCCAGTCCAGCGCCGGCGCGGCGCCGCCCCACGCGCCCCAGCGCTCGCGCCGGAAGAAGCGCTTCTTGAAGTGCGCCGCCGGCGCCGCCGCCGCCGCCGCGCCGGGCTCGCCGTGCCCGATGCCCGAGTCGGGCGACGTGTTGCACGCCTCGTCCGAGCGCCGTCTCTTGTCCTCCATGGCCGTCGACGCGAACGATATGATCTGGTCGAACCGGAAAGCTATCCGGTCTTGCCACTTGCTCTCGTCCACCTCTTCGCCGGCTTCGCCCTCTGTAACGGAGCGGGTGGTGAGAGGGGGCGCAGGCGCGGGCGCGGGCGTGGGCGGGGCGCAGGCGACGCTCTCGTTACCTGGCAGGCGCGCGCCGTCGGGCAGCTCGTCCACCAGCGGGGTGGACGTGTTGGAGTGCGGGTCCGGCGGCGGCGTGCGGCGCCGCGCCTCGTCTTCCGCAGCGGGGGCGGCCGCGGCTGTCGGCCCGCCGCCCGCGCTGCCGGGACCGGCAGCCCCCGCTGGCGGCGCGGCGCCTGCAGGGCCTGACCCGTTGCGCCCGCGCCAGTAGTCAGAAGCCAACACGCGGGCTTGTAAGCAAGCAGCTAGCCCTGCAAATTATAATAATCTTATGGATACTGTGAACTAACGAGTTCACCATAGACGCTGTATCCTTATCCAAATAATTTACATCGTAAGTATGTGTGGTATAATTTTTATTTTGGTTAATATCTTATGTCACTATGTCAAACAACTTAAAATTTGTAAACTTAAGAAGGATAAAGAGATAAAGAGACAATGTGTGGAGGACATTGCGCGTTACCTTCGAGCGGCTGGTTGGCAGCAGCGGGCTCGTGGTAGCGCGCGCTCATGTTGACGGCGGCGTTGATGATGCTCTGGTTGGAGATCTCCAGCGTGCGCTCGATCTCCCCGTTGACGAGGTCGCCGATGGTGCGCGCGCCGGGCGCGGCCAGGCGCTCCTGCGACAGATGGCGGCGCAGCGCCAGCTTGGCCGGCGACACCTGCACCAGCGGACCACACACGTTAGCGGCGCTCACACGCGCTCACACCCGAGCCGCGCCCCGAGCCTCACCTGCGTATAGTCGGGCGCCGCCTCCAGCGCGTTCAGCCGCTCGTACGGGTAGCGCTCGCGCCGCATCTCGCGGCCCGCGCGCGGCAGCGTCCCGCCGCGATACTGCGCCCCGTGGGACCCGTGCGAGCTGTGAGACCCGTGGGACCCGTGGGGTACGTGTGACCCGTGCGTCCCGTGTGACCCGTGCGAGCCGTGTGAGCTATGCGACCCATGAGCGCCGTGGGCGCCGTGGGGGCCGCCGCCTCGTACATAACCGTTGGTATAAGCGTGGCTCTGCGAAGGCCGGGACGCTTTTCGCTGCTCCTGGTCCTCGTTCAGCACCGACGTTATTATACTTTTGAGCCTGTCCTCAAAATTGATCACCTTTGGCGATTCCTGGACCTTGCCGACGACATTAAGGGGTTTCTGTGGCTTGACCGGTGACTGCCTGTGAGCGAGGTTAGGCGGTGGCTGACCCGGCCGTTGAGGTTGAGTCCGGTGTATTGGTGCACCTGTCTTTGGATGTCTATGATGATCAACATGCCTCTCTGAGTCTCTTGGATACCCGTTCACTGCCACATTTGGCTTCGATATTTTACCCGCTTCGATCTGCCGCCCAGTCTCTAGAATTTTCTGAGCAAGTATTTCTGGATTCTGTTCCTCAATTTTCCCAACATCTGGAACGTCTGGCCACTCCTGAGAGCGCGATCTATGCTCTCTGGATTTTCTAGGTTTTGAATTAACTGTATGAGGTTTGACAGTAGCAACTGGTACAGTTGGCGGCGCTACTTTTTGCTCGTTCGATCTTTCCATTTGGATAATTTCATTCTGCAGATGTCCTACTTGAGCATGTAACCTTTTACGATGCGCTAGTGTTGCAGATATTTCTTTGAGTATGCAGTCATGTGCTATACTTTGGGTGATTTCGACGTCGGGAGGTATGTGACCCAACTGGCGATACTTTTCCGTTATCTCAAATGTCCTTTGTTTAATAAGCGCGGCCTGGTCATTTTCTATATTATTCACCTAAAACATAAAATATATTTAGTAACAGACAGGTGACACAACATGTTGATTCAATACGACATAACATTGTTACAGAATGCACGTCAAAATAAAACTAATTCAATGGCATAATATCGTACATAGAAAATTAAAATGACATCCACTAAAGCAGTGAGCTAAAACCAAAAAATATATAACGTTTACAAAAACGTAAAGAATAACATTTATTTATGATAAGAAACGGTAATGATATAATACATACAGCATTTCAAAAAAAGAATAAACCAAGTTTAAAACTGATTATAATAATGAAAATGATGAGTACCGTTTTATCAATCGAAGTGATGTACGTACTCTTCGAAAATGAGTTTAAGCCGTTGCGAAACCGAGACCGTACTATCTATCAGGTGCATGACCGAGTGATAGTGAGCTATAAGAGCGAAAGTACCTAGGGACAGAAGCAGGAGTGGCGTCCGGTCACTATAATCTTAGACGTTACAACAAAAGCTGGTTGTTTTCAATGCACGATACTATGACACAAATAAAGCATTCAAGAACAGTACCTGTGCTTGTAATTTGCTAGCTTTGCTCTGCAGCTCTTTGTGCCTCCCGACAATTTCCTTGGCTTTGGCCAAGAGATCCACAGTGTTATTGGCGTGTATGCCCAGCTCACTCATGCGCGCCTTTAACAGAGCAACACTGTCGCTTATGAGCACGTTGATCTGTTTATCTAACTGAGACGCACGCGACTTCAGTTTCTGGTTCCTCTCCTGTATCGAATACTTGGCTTTAAGTTTTAAGTTTACACATATTTACTTTTTCATGGTCTTACAAACGACTCACAGCTTCCTTACTAATGTACTTCAAAATAATATTATTAATATATGAACATTTCAGTTATACTGAAGCTTTTTTTAATCAATTGACGACTAAGATAAAAGTCAAAGCCCAAGTAGTGAGCAACTTGATAGAAGAGTGAACCAACCAATATATCTCACAATCAGATTTACTCAATCAATAAATGTATGAAATGTGTCCCTGTTAAAAGATGAAAATATTAATACTTCGCTTTATTTACGGAAACGGAACCACAAAAGAGTCAGCGGTCGAACCGCTTTCATTATTTGATCAGTATTGTAATTTTCTTCTTTTAATGGGAACTAATAATATAAATTCATATTGTCTGAAACAAAGTACAGATTAAAAACAAGTATGTTAGTTTGTAAGCCAGTAACTAGAAGTAATATTAATGAGTAACACAAATGGAATTTTCGATATGCAAGCCGATGATGGCGGGCCGAATGAATTGTGAGACATTTGATCGAAAGCACAGGTTGTTTGTAAGAACACCAAAAAGTCGAAGCAAAACATGCTCGCGGAGTAGTAGGTAGTGGAGAGATAGAATACCTTTTCCTTATCGATCTGTTGGCGTATCTCGTGCGCGTACTCGGGCGTGTTCATGCGCGCGATGAAGGCGAGGTACTGGTCGCGGAACATGTCCAGCAGCAGCTGCAGGCTGTAGGGCGCGGCCGGCGCGCGCGGGATGTCCAGCTCCGAGTGCAGCCGCGACGCCGGCTGCAGCGACACGCCCAGCGCAGACAGTCGCTGCTCCACGCAGCCCGGCGGGGGCGCCGTCACCTGCGCACCGGGACTCTTGTTAACATGCCCTCGCATACTGACGATAACTTTTAGTGAAGGTCATTTTGAAAACGTGACAGCCAATCGATAGTAAATAAATAAAACGAAAATAAGATCGCCGCCCTATTTACGTACGATACCTGTGACGAGGGCAAATATACTCACGGCGCCGTTATGTAGGGTGGAGGCCAGCGTGGTGGAGTGCAGCAGGTCGAGGCCGGCGATGGCGGCGGGCGCGGCGCGGCGACGCTTGGCGCGCGCTGCCCGGCGTCGCGCGCCGCCCGCGCTGGCGCTGCGCTTGCTGGCAGGCCGTCGGCTGCGATCTGCACCATATACACTTTATGACGTATACGAACTTTGCAATGTGACAACGCTAGTCTGATAATAAAACGAAGTACTGACTGGAGTCGGACGAAGAAGCCCATGGCGCTCCCCACTCGCGAGGTGCGGGCTCGGGGCCGGGCGGCGCGTCATCGGTGCCACTGGACTCCTCGTCGCTGTCGTCACTGGAACGCCGCACCACGCGCCGCTTGGCCACCGTAGCTCTCGCTCGAGTCCTCCCGTTCTCGCCCCTGCCACACAAAAATCACGCCGATAAAGGATGGAGTAACGCAGTGCGTTGAAGGGTTGCAGGCAGACTGGTGAAGCTAGCGTACCTGGCGGGGCGCGGGCGCGCGACCTTGCGGCGTCGCTCAGGCAGCGAGGCGGTGCTGTGGTTGCTGTTCCCGTTGAGCAGGTCGGGCGTGGGCTGGCGCGTGGGCGGCGCGCTCAGGTGTCGCTTGCCGCTAGCCTCGCCCTCGTCGCAACCGTTGTGCGTTCCCTGATGGTTACAACATCACTCTAATTATTGTTTAAGAATCCTTGTGTGTTTACAGTCTTAGACAACACAAATATCTAGTTTGCTGAAATAAAGATAACCCATGACCTGTACACATGATTCCGATATCGACTGACAAGTTTCCTGGGTAGACTCGTCCATATTTATAAAGTAGATACTTATTTATATTATAAAACACAACATTTTATAACTGTCTATTAAAAAGAATTTGAAGTACTAAGAATACTTTAGATTCATGCTTCTACTCCGTTTGTTAATATCGAGAATTCAAAAATAAATAATTTATTACTAAATATTAGATTATGTTAAGCAATATCAAGCTGAAGCAGCTATATTTTGAAGTAGAATATACGGAGGAATTTCATGTGGGCTAGTAAAAAACTTAGTACATTCATAGAACATGAACATAATTCGAACAAAAGGGAGAAGCCTAACTTAACGCGAAATTCTGAACTGGACAAGAATAAAAGAAACAAAGGATCAGAAACCATATACGGCATTATTCAAGCAATGTAGCTGATTAGAAAAGCAAATCTACCTTGCTAAGTGGAACAGTAAAAAACCTGTACTTAGGATTCCAATATCACTGTCCATAGTTCAGGATAATATTAAAAAATATAAAAACATTAATTTTCTTATGTCATGTCACTGAAATCTGTAACTTGCCAAAAATGTATTAATTCAACCACCAAGGAAGTTAACGGAGTCAATAACTAGGTAACTTCATAACTTGATACAGCAATCTTCTAAACTTCATAGAAGTCTTTTCATATACAATTGAAATACAAGTTCATATTAAAGGCCTGAAAATTTTCAGATTTAAAATATTAAGTACTTACTTCATACTTAATAAAGGACAAGTTATTTGAGAATCAATGATAGCAAGTAGACATGAAAAGTTTTACTTGTATACTATGGAAGCCCAAATAGGAATAGCCTAATGAAAAAGTTTTTTCCTCTTTTCATTGTTCACTCTACCTTTCTCTACTGCATAGCTTAACATAGCACACATACACGAATTAACATAGCTGACACACATGACGATTGGTTGTATAAATAATTTATGTATCCTCTCCATTGGGGTCTACTGCATTCTAATTTATCATTACAAATTTCTTCAGTTTTTTACAATCTATACTTTGAAAGAAATAAGTTATTTTCACAGTCAAATCATCATGGACATTAATGTTATCTTAATTATCTTATAAAAGGTAAAGTGATTGGAACAGACCCTTTTGCTGACCTTGAGTTTCGGATTTTTCAGTCTTTGAAAATATCTCTCCAATTTGGTCCTATCTATAATGTGTAAATAGTAAGAGACTGGCTTCCCCGTCCACGAGACTGATCCTTTCAGTGGAGACATTTCGCTCACATGCATGATGGTCCCGATGTCACTTAAATTTCTGTCAGTTATCCGGAAGTTTAGAGGACAAAAACTCTTCGAAGATACGATTTTAGCACCGTCTTTCAAATCGGCAAATCTTTCTTTTAACTGATGATCTACATGCGGGCCGAAAGCGAAGTTGTTCACGAAAACAATCGTCGCTGAATTTATTTTTTCTCTGTGTTCATCCAGAAGAAAATCACCCTTTATTAATTTGTATTCTCCAAATTTTTTCCCGTACCACCTCATCCACATTCTAAAGTGACCATCCATACTCTGTAAAAAAATGACAGGTATATTATGTAAAGCTTTAATAAATTATGGGCAAGATAGCCTTAAGGAGAAGGTGGTTGAAATTATTTTTTACCTCAGCGTATTTGCTAGGAACTTCCGCCTTTTCGACTCCAAGACAGACGCGGCAAGGTGTTGCGGCCGCCATTTGTAGGACCACCTGTCCCACGCCCGAGCCCAAGTCCACGAACACATCGTCGGATGTTATATCTATTTGATCTATCATCTGACACACCAGCTCGTACGATGTTTCGCCGTATACCTGTCGATGTAAATTACTTCATTTATTGCATTGCCAGATGCTCTTACCTACATAATTATAATGTCAATGAATAACAAATTTATATATCCTATTCTTATCTTTCACAAATTGTAGATAATACTTTTTAAATCTTATGAAGGAATTCTTTGGAAAATAAGAGACGTCTTATATAAAATTTAATTACTGCGGATTCAAAGGCTATTATTATTTAAATTCTATATACACACATTAGCGTTGTTTGCAATCTAAGTATATCCTTATTATATTTGCATATTGTTATCATAGTGAATATTTTTCATTTTATTTTATTAATGTCAAAGACAAACTTCCTGCTTCCTATAAACAGCAACTTTAATTTATTTATCATATACATATTTTATATTCCTCATAAATATGATCGGTTCTCTATTATAATTATATTCCTGAATTTGTTAAATGCATTGAATAAATAATAATTAAGTAACCAAATACTAATTAGAAATATGTCACACTAAAAAACGAAAGTACATTATGTATTGCGCAAATTATGAAATTCTCCTTAAATAAAACTCTTCATATTTATGCAAACACCAAGTTCGCTGGAGGAAGGAGATCGCTAAATTAAAAATTGTCAACATAAACCCCGGTGTTATGATTACAACAGTTTATGTTATGCAATGAGGGCGCCGCCGTGGTGTTTACAGCTAGTAGTATATTTTTATTTCAAATTCGTTAGCTACAAACTACTATAAATAGCGAATGCCTAAGTTGGCAACACGACATAATTGGCATGGCTGTAAACAATACAGATTGCGTAATAAATAACCGTTTAGTACTGACCTCAGGTGAGAAGGGTTCATATTGGTTGAGTTTATCCGGGTCAGACACTGCTTGGTTGTATGTTTGCTGCAATATGTGTTTCAGCAAACCCCTTGATGGATACTTGTTCAACCTTTGAGCTGGTAACGATGTGCCTTTTTCCTGTAATTAAAAATAATATTATTTACACATTGTCGATAAGTACATAATTTAAAATGCTACAATTCTCATGTGTTTTCTTTGTTTTAATGAATTCGTATCATGGTTATTGTATGTTATGGCGATGCCGCAGCTAACCAAAACCGATAGCATTATCCGTTCTCACAATATTTATATGAGTACATTTACCCATTTACATAATTTTATGAACATAAATACGATAATTTTACCACATAAAACTAACACACAGGTAACGTACTTAAAATTAAAATGCTCTAGTATCGTTAGTTTATTTGCTGGCATGTTTTATTTCTACTATGGAACACACCGATAAGAATTTATTGACCATTACCCTTTAGAAAATTTAACAACGCATAAAATCAACTGTAATTAACAATATGTGCACCTTCGTCCCTAAGAAAGGCGTTATTTTTTTAAACTGCTTGACAATAAATTTACAGTACAAACTTCAATATTTAATTGTAAGCACACGGAAGAATGTACCTTCGACATTCAATGCTGAATGTATAAGTATATTTGCATTGATAAAATTGAATAATGTACATTAAGTACATGCTGTAAACGTATTACAATAGTAAGTTGGTTCCAAACCTTGACATTGCTATCATGGCAAAATGACCGATCGATACAAGCAAATGCGTCATTTAAGAGCAATGTCGATGGCCTTGAGTCCGATTCACGGTTCAAGGTTTAATAAATGTAGCAGGCAGCATAAAAGTAGGTACCTACCAATCTGAACTTAAAGCTTGAGGCCAATGACTTCTTACCTTTAAAATAAGTTATGTGGTATTTACTGCATACAAAAAATCAATACCTATCTTGTGATATAAAGTTTGTTCGCATGCTAGCAGCGGTCGTTGCTAAGTCATTTTTATCTTAGTTAGCAAAAAGACTAAAAATATAAGTAGGTTAGCAAAGATAGGTAAGTACTTAATTGATGCTTCTCTGACATATTTTTATCATTTATGTTATTTAGAACTACGAGGACACGATGGGGCTGGCGTCTCCTTTTTTGCCAAATCTATGCTAATATTATAAAGCGGTAAAATTTGTAAGTATGTATGTAGGGGGTAATCTTTGGAACCGCTGGACGGATTGCCAAAATTCATTCACTGATAGATAGTTACAATGTTCCTGAGTGCTATAGGTTATAAAACATCACGCTACGCTTACATGGAGCCGAGCAGCGAGAGCGTTGAAACCGCGCGAGAGTAGCTAGTTGATAATAAAAGAGTAATTTTAAATCAATTTAGACTGACCCAAATACAAAGCGATATTGCGATTTTATTTGGCGACGGGTACGAATATAACGTTGCAGGTCAAATAACACGCAACGTAGGAAAGAAAATGAAGACTAACCGTATCTGGACTCTGGACATGACCTTGTTCGAATCTTTTGTAATGTATTTATTTACATTCAGTCTGATGCGTTCATTCATAAAAGATAAAGCCATGTATTAAAATAACCTTACATTTGTCAAACATATTATTCAATATCATACACTTAAGCAAGCATTTCCGTTTTGCTAATATACAGTGGCAGAAACTATCCGTACACGGTACGGTACATAGAACTTAAAAATATAAATATAAAGAACATTGTGTGTACTTTTAACATTGTTTACAACGTTTATGTGTACGAACATTATCGGAAAGGGCCATTGTCGCTTCCTTTAAAATTTAGTATCACTTTGTGTAAATAAAGCGCAAACGAAGTGGTGTGCGTACCCCACATAATTCGCTCCCGTTAAATTGAAGGAGGTAATGGGGTCAGGGGAGGCAGGCGTGCTCGGGAAATCAATACCAAGTCTAAATGTAAACAATCTTTTTCTCGTCCGTTTATAGAAGCTTGACGTAACTTCCGCCATTTATAACTGCTTTGAGGAAAATATCTATAGGTACTTACCTATTATGTTCCAATCTATAATGTACTTTACCTACACCGACTAGCTACGCCATACTTCCAAAGGTACGTACGCAAGAAGAAATGAATAAGGTAAGGTATGTCCATATATTACAACTTTTTTTAAGTATGATTAAAAACATGAAAAAATCAATACGCAATCGAAATCCATTTATATTTTTCTATTCGGCAATGCACCCTTCTTACGCAAAATATGACAACGTAGCATTTGATTAGCTTTAAATGTGAAGAAATAGTCATTTAAATTAATTAAAATGAATAAAATATAGATATTTATCAATAGAACTTAGATTAATATACACATAGAGGGTCTTTCGATTTTGTATACTGGTCACTATATTGATCTAATTTAATTATGACTGATACAAAAATGCATAGTTTAAAGATGTAATGAAAACAACCCTAAAGTATGAAGTACAAAAAATCGGTTGCATTAAGACAATAGATTTCATTTATTGCATATCATGCATAATACACATTATTAATTTATTAATGTATAGCCAATAAGCAGCAAGAAGCTATTGACAAATATAATACTCGTCATAACAACGTAGGCACCAGTCAATCTACATACAATGTGCGTACTTCGAATAGTGGAAGGCATTGCATCCCAGCCTCTGGCCAGTGATGCAATCAGTTCTCACACACATGCCCGTCCGTTGCCCAAACAGTCCATATGGCGCTAAACCATTGCGTCATTCACTATCTACTTACTCGGTGAAAATTAGAAAGCGGCCCCACGTTAATTCAGCGCAGTGCATGCAATAATACAGCGTTTACTAATATCATGTTGAACCAACGATAGAGGCTATGTTCACCTGACTATACGACAAAAACAATAAAGACCCTTAAGTGACGCTGGTGACGTATGGTAAAATGTTGGTGTTATCAGATTAATTTGATATAAGTATTCAAATAATAACATTCTGTTATCGTACGTTTGAGACATTTCTCAGAATAACAAGTTGTTTATCAGTAAAAACATACATTTAACATTACAAAACATAGAAATATTCAAAGCGCAATATGTATGTAAAGTAATTAGTGTTAAGATTGACTTGCTGTGACATTCGTACAATTTATATCCAAAAAATATGTTTAAATTCCCAATATTTTTGACCGCAAATAACATGTAAATAGGTACCTACTTCCTATAATGATGCACATATAAATTACAATAAATTCTTAGCTGTCATAAATATCATTGATAAAATACGATGTTTTACTACATTATTCAAATTGAATTTCAAAATCATTTTAAACTCATAGCCCCAACGAAGACGCTGGCGCAGCCGAAAAAAAAGGTCATTAACACTACGCGGGACATTCGCGTTCGTTCAATATTGCGGTCAACGCCCCCGCAAGTGGCCCGCACTGAGCCACTCACTATAACAATACGAATCGCAGTCCATTCCTTACTGAATATTATGATCAATGTAAAATTAATTACCTGTCCCCCTCCCCCACTTCCAATCACAATTTATTTATCGTGAAGTACTTAAATCAATTCGTAAAAAAATGTTACTTTATTAGGATTTAGAAAATTAGAAAATATAGAATTATGTATAGATTTTTAACAAACATTATTCTAAAATTTTAGTAGTTAATTCTTAAGTCCTATTAGGATAGGCTAAATAAATTATTTATTCAAAATTAATTTATTGCAGCATCGTATTTCTGATTAATGAACTGCATTAATTCAATTTAAACTACGCAGAAGGCTCACTTCATTACTCACATCGATAATTGCAGTATACAAAAATAATAAAGGTATCAATTTAAATGCAACCACATATTTTAAAATGGCGTCAAATGATATAATAATATTATAATATAAGCCTTTTTAATGAATAAACCTAGGTATGTAATAAATATGAAATGAAAGATATTAGATAACCATAAAAATCCTAAGCAAACCTATTTTAAAGTAGGCTAAAAAGAGCAGAAAGATATTAATAATCCTAAGATAAATATAAACGTGACCGAGGTCACTACACTGAACTTAAAGGTGTCTATGCACGCGACTAGAGTTCGTTCATATTTAAATGACCTACTCAATATGTCAAGACAGTAAATAAAGGTGCTAAAATTTTTATTACCGACATTTGCAAAAACTATAATTTCCTGAACAAGACCGCATCTATTCTTTGGAAAATTATATACTTAATATTTGTCTGTTTTCGTCATGTATGTATTTATGTCTCTAGGATGTTAAAACTTCGTATCTAAACCCGATGGTGATAAATAATGTTATGTAGAGATGTACCAGTAGGTACTATTTATGCGAGTCACGTCTAAAGAATAGACGTAACGTTTTAACTTCTCAATATGCTGGTCCTCTAACCAAGTAACACAAATGACATCACCTATAATACAAAGGATAATTCTATTATTACGAAATGACCGTTGTAGACAAATAAGTCGTAAATTATTTATATATACAAATCTATTTTATTTTGAATTTAAGATAGATATTTTGAATGTCGTCTTCCGTATTAGGTAAAACGAAGGTCTAAGTTATGCTGTAAATTGATTAATGCAAGTATTTATGTTAGACTCGTAATCTATATCGCTATAATAAATTATAACTATTGCAATTTAATCAAAACTTTTTTTATTTTGTATCATTAAAAACAAGGCCCTATTCATCATTTAATAAATAAGTACCAAAATACAATAACAATATTTTTAATAAAACTTAGGTAATAATAATATTCGGAAAAGCATTCGCCGTAGGCAGTTCTCTATGTCATAGTGAAAATGGTATGCAACGTGTATAAATAGAGTTAGCCTCGCGCGGCGTCTGCGGACATCGATCGTTGCGTCCTCGCCGCCATCTTGGCCCTCGTGTCTCCCTCCTGCAGCCCGCGCCCCACTCGCCTCTATTGCCCCTCACTGCCCCACATTCACCGCACCGTTTCGCACATGCTACACTACGCGGCATGTCCGCTGTTTCTAGCTAGCTGACTCAACATTTGGCGGTAGAGTTTGCAGCTCTACAAAAATAAACATCTTCAAGGAGATAGGTACATTGTTCAATTTCCGTGTTTCCTTTTCGAATTATAATATTGCAGATCAATTTTAATCAGTATTTATTATTGTTGATATGTATGTTACGTATGCATGAATTTATTAATTTACATATTGGAAACCATATTATGTTAATGGAATAAATTTCGAGATTGGTTTAAATCAGTGACTTGTTTTATATACACGTTCCTCGTTTTTATAAATATCGACTTATTTTAAACTGTCTTTCTCTCTAACTCCCTCTCTAATTTGAACGTTAGCACAGTCATAGTGCAAAAGTCTATTGAACTATGACATTGCCGTTATGTGGGTAGGTTGTCTAGCTAGATTCTTAAAATTAATTTAACATTTAGAGGTCGAGCAAACATAGGGCACATCTTTGAAAGGCGTACGAGTAGCTAGATATTATAGCTGAATTAAACTTTCCACATTATAGTTTAAATTTCAGGTTATTCTGATATGAATTTGAAAATAGAATCGTAATATTTGTTCAGATTTCAGAATCGTTCCACCATCCCGAAATTTCTTTTTTCACTGAAGCATGCTCTATTAATAGGAAAAATAGTAATTATTACGCCCGTTTAATCATTAAAAGTAATTACGCAGTAAAGCTAATGTAGCATACAGAAGTCAGAGCTCATTATACACTATACAAATAACTAAGGTGACATTGGTGATATTTCCGCAAGTGAACAGAATTTTCTGAATACAATGTTTCCGTCGTTGAATGTCGCTTGTCAACTACAGCTTTACACTGTCAGGGCCAATGGCGAGAAATATGTTACATAATTTATTTTAATAAGAAAATATAAGGCATCTACTCAATATACTACACATGTGCGTTATGTTATGTTTTAAGTATAATAATACCAAAACTTTATTTTGCGCAATTTTTCGGTCTGCTTTAACAATGAATCTTTATTCCTATTATATAATTGTTTGTTACCTGCGGCAACAGAAAACCGAAAAAAAAATAGCTTCGAGGTCCTTTGGTATTCATCGAGGAGCGTAACGGGCTTGTTTTGTTGTTTACGTGCAATGGGTATTTGAAGCATAGAATTTGTATTTCAGTAGAAAAACGCTATGCCGGAGAAAACATTGAGGAAAAAGCCATAAAATAAAATTGTCAGTTATTTGTCAACAGGCACTGCATGTGCATACAAATATTGACAATGTAATTTTACGAAGCTTAGTATGTTCTCTTTACAAATTATCATTACAACACCTTAAAATATAAGAAGCCTTCTGAATGCGAAGTTCAATGTCAAGGGAGCTATTTATTCGACACAGATTGTGTTTATTTTTATCTTCGTGGGTAACTTGTTCTCTACCTACCTGTTATCGCTCATTCATTATTATGTAACGTACCTAGACAGGTCGTTGGTTAGTTTGTGTGATACTAATACTGCTACTCTTCACATATTACAACTCGAATATGAAAGTAAATACGTATGTCGACTAACGAAATGAAACGGATGTGTTTTATGAAGCAATCACATTGAACTTATCCAAATCAGATGAATTCATAGAATTAAGGTTCAGATAAATACAAACAAGTTTAAAAGCAACTAATAGGACTGTAACTGTATCATTTTGCCATAATTTAGAGTAGGTGAATATTGATTGATTCCTTATTACATGGTTATTTACATAATAAATAGCTAGCGAGTAGCGACGTAGCAATATAGCACTGTTATAAAACCAGTTTCACGAATAGCTCATAATTCTTCCAGTTACGTAAACACATATTTGTAAGTATGTATGTCATATCATTTATAATGCGTTTATCACGATAGGAACAGCGTTGTGTTGCGATTCGTGTTAACTACAGAAATAATGCCACAATTACTCACTACCACCAACCTACAACATTTGTTCTACTAAAGCCAGCTGCAGAAACGACTGGGTTTCGTCTGTGTTGCAATTTTGTTGTCATTATACCATGTATGGTTTAAATTGATGCTAATAAGTCACGATTGATACGGTTACCCAGTTAAAATGATAGCAAGGAACTGGCTGCACTTAATAAATTGTTTTAAAATGATATGGACCAGTTGTTATGAAGATATATGCTTAGTAAGAATTAGATTTACTTATCTAAGTTGTACAAAACAAAAAGATGTCCTACCAGAGCGACGACGGAGTCTATGGCGCGGTTGAAACGGTCGCACAGGGCTCTCATGCTGTCGTACGAGTGGGTGTCGTAATCGCACAAGATGTTGTTTTCCAGAGCCGCTTTCATCTCCGGCAAATCGTCGCACACCCATCTGCAACAAACAAAATAATTAGAAATCGACTTCGCCACATCATATAAAATAGAAAGAAATATTTCTATTTATTTTATAACAATTACTAATACATATCATAAACACTTCCAAAATAAAGTTAATGAAAACGCGGAAAGCGGGCTGTAAACACTTATAAGTATCTGTCACGTTGAACGTTACATAATCATGCTCTACTTTATCGAGGTTGTAGGGTCAAGGTCATGGTAGTAGTTAAGTAAATCACTGCCTATATGAATTGTAAGGATTCTAAATAAACAGTGAATTATGTTACTTATAGCAGTTTGTGCTTTCGTTTCGGTTTGCTCTGACGATAACGACCTTGGAATAAAACCGTAAAATCTTCTGCTTATGTTTACCACAGATCCACATAAATAAATCCGAAATTTTAAGTATCTTAACTATTCGATTGTTGTTAAAGAAGAAACTGGTATAAACCGTATATTGTGGTATTGAGCATGTTCACAATTGGGACAGGAAACGATTTAACACATGCGGCGCAATCAATAAACTTCAGCTTATTATATAGCCGACGAGTGTAAGTATACTGTATAAAGTAGTTATTTAAATAAAAAGTACGTTTGTTGGGGACGACTCCTATATGTATCACTTACTAAAGTAGTAAGATCCTCTCATATACGACAAAATACTATTTACTTTATCTAGCGTATATTGTTGGTGCTAGTGAAATGTCTGTTTGCAATTTAAAAGACCTCGCTAAGCACGATAATTGGAGCTTTTCCTGTTTTTTCTGGCATCTTTATCTCTCTTGGCCTTTTACTAAATAATTTTGGAATCAGCATAGTGTCAACCAGAAACAGAACTGGATGAGATGTTTTTTTAAGATGAAACATCTTATTATCCCTTTGAATTCATCAAACCCCAAGCGAACACCGGCTTTTGCGCACCTATTGTCTTACTATTGTGTCTCATATTACCACGACTGAAAGGTTGAAAGTGGTAGGGCACGAAAATTGTGTGATCAGTTTTGTTGACTAATGTATTTGACTGATAACACTTGTCTGTCTCCGTGTCAGACGATGTTTTGTTGATTATTTGGCTCGTTGATAAAATGGCCGCTTATCAACATTCAATGAACCACCAATAAGTTTCGTCCAGAAAATATGATGAATATACTACTACTACTCATTTTTAACCGACTTCAAAAAAGGAGAAGGTTCTCAATTCGACGAGTATTTTTATTATACCAACGATTATACCAACTGTTTTTTTTTTTCAAACTGGCGTGCTTAATATTTTTATCCCGAAACTAAACGAAGGTTGTAACTGACGAGGGGTGAAGCAACCTGAATTCTTGGATTTGACCTCGTATGTCCGTTGTTAGAGTTCGTAACCTGACAAAATTTCGCTAACATTGTTTTTATCTTTATGCCTGTGTAGTGTAGTATATAGAAACATTCTACAACATTAAAGAATAAAACATACCAGGTGACTTTATTGCAACATGGGTACAATCTAGAGCCCCTATTACCCTGGGGAAGCTTGCGATTTCATAAAAACCATCTTGAAGGGTGCTTAAGTTGTCAGGGAACTTTATTATCACTGTGCGTAGTTGAGCAATAGCCTCAGTCACCTTCTTAACGATACGGCTTGCTGTTGGTGGACTGACTCCACAAAAATCAGCCGCACTTCTTAAATAGGATCCAGTAGCGAGATACCTCAACGTTAATAGTAGGCTTGTTTTTGTTGGAACTGCTTGATTTCTGAAATAAAGATTTTTATAATGTACCTACTAACTGCACCTACTTACTTCAATCAACAGGTAACAGAACACATAAGTAGGTAGGTACTTCAAATTATAGGAGGGATTAATATGGTTTGATAGGTTATCTTAGGTAAAATCACTTGAATAATTAAAAAATACCACTCACCTTTGCGATTTAGGCATTATTTTATGTTTAATAAAGTTATGGCACTTTGGTTCACTGCATATTTCGATAGACCGAAATCTAGCGAAAAAATCAGTTTCATCAGGTCCGTAAAATAATCAAACACGGAATTTAAATACAACGAATCCTCGCTATTCGTTGCGTCGAAGAATGTTCTAATTCATCCACTGATGATCAATTAAATCAAATAAATCCATTTTTATTCGTTTATTTTAAAATAATCGTTGGTGATGCAAGAAAAAGACAACAGACAATACTTAATCGTCGAGTAAAGCACGCTAATTGGCAGAAGACGCGGCAAGTAAGTTACGGGTCAGTTAATCTTATGATTAGTGCTACTCGAACGTCGTGAAACTCGCACGTGAAGTTACGGGTCACTTTAACTGGCGATTAGCCTACTCGACACTTTACTTGAGGGTGGTGAAACAGGCCCTAAATCTGATTTGAAAATAGCTACAAGTAACAATAAAATAAACATATAAACACCAGTACAACAAAATTATATGCTCCAGCTTTTTTTTACATGAGATGAAGGATCATAAAGAATTTTAGTAAGGGCGCGGCCATTTCGAAATAATAGGGATCGATTTCAAGGTCACAAACGGGTGAATGAGCGCGTCCGGACAAAAAGAGGTCACACTGAAGGTTCTCGCGCGCTCCTGACTACTCAAGCCCGCATCGACCTGCAAGACTTGTTCTCGTTTTAGTCCTAAAATAGGATTATCCCAATAAGTAAATACCTACTGCATATGGTAGAGTGCAATTTTTTTTTTCAAAATGAAGTTATGTAATGCAATTTATTTTAGTCAAATATAATCCTTACGTCAGCATGTATCGTTTAAAAAATAGTGATAAGATATCTATGGACATTTATTGATTCTTTGTTTTAATAAATTAATATTTGATAGCTTGCTCACTCGATCCCGACATCCTTGCCGGGTGGCTCGTGCCCGACAGGACAGGTGTTTCCTATCTACGATCTTAAACAACGCACGTGTATCCTATAGCCCTTCACGCGTCACTTTCTTTAGCTGGTTTATAGTAGCAATGTTATAAATCGGTTCGCTATTGCCCCGAGGAATGAAGTATCGCCGTAATTTATAAACAAGTTTTTCAATGCTTGTGAGTATTGTCAAACATCACGGAAACAATTTATGGTGAGGTCGTATCACGAAAAACAATTAAAGTATAATATTTATATAGGTATGTACCAACTTATAATAGACACCATACTACTTATGACTTTTCTATTACAATTGCACATTATCATTAGATGTCAATACAATGATAATGTGTATGACCTTGACTATTTTATTTGCTGTCAATAATACAGTTTTCATAAATAAAATACGCAGGTCTAAGGCTAAGAACTCACGGAACGATTTTGAACCGTGCCCGCCGCGGTAGCGGAACTGCAGTTTTATTTCCAAACTCACGAGACCGCTTATTTGCGCGGTTACACAGCCGCCGCGGTTGCGATCATCGCCCGCAAACGTGGCGGGCGATGATCGCAAGATTGCAAGACGGGCGGTTAACGATCAGTTGAGGTCCAGACGGCCATGGACACACACCAGAAACGAGCCGTTGCGTTATATTTACTTCACAGAAGACCCGCCGGCCCCGCGGTCGCTCGTCAACCGATCGCAAAGCGCGCGGGTGCCACCCGCCGAGGCTGCGGGTAACCGCGGCTCGCGCGATTCTACTAGTTGCCCGCCGGTACAGCGGGAGCCGCATACAACCGCGTACACCGCGGGCGTAAAACGCGTCGTGAAATGTGCTTTAATTTTTTATATAAATATTTGAATTCTACAGAAGCTGCGGGCCCGCAACCGCAGCGGACGCGGGCGAAAATCGCTCCGTGAGTTCTTAGCCTTAGGTATAAGCCTGAAATATGTTGAATGCATGATACAAAATGAATATCTAGGTCATTTCAGTTAAGGTTGATTTACCATATAAAGCAATTCCTTTCAGTATGATGTACACACTTAATGAACTTTATGTGACCTTAGGTTTTGTTTTGTTTTTTCCATTTAACTACATGTGTGTACCATAAGTTTTATCTTTTACATGAAAGATAATTATTATTGTATTTATGTAGTTTATTGATAATATTCACAGTAAATAAGTATGCATTGCATTAGCTCAGCTTAAGCTTCTATTATTTAATTATAATATAGATGAAAGAAAAAATAATTTTGTTATTTACCTTATAGTTTCTACTATCTCCAAGGCCCCATCGTGTTTGTCCTGGAACAAATAAAAACGAATTTCATAATCTTGATAACATCATTGTAGTTTTACTCAAAATCAATTTTGTATGTCATTGTAGTTGGTTTATATCTAAAAGTACTTAATTTAGGTCAGGACCAAACATTATCAGTAACACTACTAATCAATTAGCTCACTTTACACTAGCTGAAATAATAAATATTTTACAAAATTTGTAAATGATAACCTAAATATTGTTGCTATGTTGTATCATTATGATTTTAACACGTTCGAGGACAGAACGAGATTATACGTCATCGTTCGAGATTTTGATATGGCACAACGTACGATGACGTTCAAATAACATTTAAATTATACGGCGCAACGTTCATTTCCGATGAAAGTTAAAGTTAAAATCCTATTGAATGTATCTTGTGTCACAACATGTAAAATACCCAACACTGTACTGTCACGTAGGGTAATTTTTAAACTATTTCAAATAAGTGCCGTTGATAGTGTGCGGTTAAGGTACTCACATACGCACAACGTGTATAGACGTCCCGCGCTCCTACCGCGCTCCTATACTCATTGCGGCTGCGTCACTGTGGGAGTGCGCTCGCGTTCAAGTGACATTTCGTGGCGTATCGTAATATTTGCCCGCGACAAAACATCGTAAGTATTAGTTTATGTTATATTTTATTATTCATTAGCTAGAAACTATAATTATTTTACTGTGAATTAATAATTTTACTGTGTGAAATTGATGTTTAATGGGTTATTTTATGTGTTTTAGATGGATAAGCGCAAAATAAGACCGCTGAGCATTTTCGATGATTCCGACACCTCCAACGAGCCGGATCCTTACCAAGATGATGATGGAGAATATGGTTCAGATAAAGATTTTTATCCACAAGGAAGTACATCAGGTAGTGAAAGTTCTTATTCTAAAAATTACCGACAGAAATCGACAAAAACTACTAAGGGTCAATCAAATTTGGTCGGTATTTCGACTCGAAAGCCCGAATCCAATGTTACTTCTAATCCTAGTAGTGATGAAGATGATACCAAATCTGTTGAGAGTGATCATTCACTGTGCCCTGCTAACACACCATCACCACCTCGAACCCCTACTACCACATCACGTTTTCAAGAGGAGGTTGCAGGCTATGAGTCGAATTCTTCAGAAGAATTTTCCCTCTAGCCAAACGCTTTAAAATTGGTTTTAAATCTCCAATTACAACCGTACCTACTGTGAATCAGGTCCCAATGAGGTCATTGAAGAAGGAACATATACCTTTGGAACCTGAAATTATTGAAAATCTGGTTCAAACATCACCTCGTGGGACGACTCAGGATATCTTATCTTCACACAACATCTCTCAAAATGAGACCGTGGGTTGTCGACTGTATCACTTATTTCTAATGTCTTAGCTTGAAAACTTAGATAATACAGGTGAATTTAGGTCCCTTGATATACTACCGCCATTATTCGATGAACCCCAAGACGAGATACTTCAAGAGGAGCAAATAGGTTCCGGCCAACCCTCCAATGCGTTGGATACTCCTAATCCTAGAAACTTCAACTACAGAGATTGGTCAGAAACTACAGCACCCATACCGGATTTCAATTTTGACGCTGGTGCTGTGGGGTAAGTTCCACCATTCATAATAACACAACCGTGTTTGAGGTATTTAACCGCCTGTTTCCACCTCTTATACTAGATTATCTCGTCGAATGCACTAATGCATACGGTACAAGTATGTGTCAAACTAATCGACCGAAAACTAGGCACAGTCGGTCTTACACATTTAAATTGACAGACAAGAATGAAATGTTGAAGTTTTTAGGACTGTGCTTGCTTGTTGCCCAAGTCAATATACCCCAAAAGCGAAAACTTTTTACTTTGTCGGACTGTTTATATTATCACCCTGTTTTTGTCTCAACTATGTCAGGAGTTCAGGACGACGCTATGAACAACTGTTAAGGTACCTGTGCACAGGACCTTTAGGTGCCAAGGGCAAAAATAAAATAACCGAGTTCATGGACGCCATTACAAGAAATTTCCGAGCGTGCTACTCTCCTGAAAAAGAACTTTCTTTGGATGAGTCACTTTTATTATTTAGGGGGCGTTTATCGTTTAGACAGTATATAAAATCCAAAAAGGCAAAATATGGGATCAAATTCTACGAATTGACGGAAGCAAAAGGCTATGTTTTAAATATATTAATGTATACCGGCAAAGATGACTCGACTGACTTGGAACAAGGAAAAAAAAACTGATAAAACTGTCATGAAGCTTATGAGACCCTATGTTTTAAAAGGCCACGAATTGTTTATGGACAATTATTATAATTTCATACGGTTTGTCTCAAAAACTGCTTGATCTCAAAAACTCATACTGTGGGCACCCTCAGAAAAAGCCGTAAAGAAACCCGAAAAACGTTATGAACAAAAGTTACAAGAAAGGCGAACATGTATGGGTACGGGAAAAATAACGTATATGTTTCAAAGTGGGTTGATAAGCGAGCCGTAACCATGATTACTACAAAGGATCATCCCAAAAATGATTAACGTTTGCCAAATAAGCGCGGACAATTAAAAAGAAAACCTATAGAAGTGGTGAGTTACAATGCATTTATGTCCGGTATTGACCGCGCTGATCAGACTGAATTTTTTTATTAGTTGTTTTAGATTTTGATTGTTCTGTTGATTACATTTTATTTTTATGCAGAAGTTGCTTTTTTGTGATAAATATAATTATGCAAGTGAATGGTTGTGATTAATTAAGTAACAATAGTTTCTACTTAAGACTGAAAAATTATTATTAAAGAAATAAATGGTTGATTTTCATATTTTAAGTTTTATTTTATATCGATCTTAAATGAATTTAATTTATTATTTATTTATTTTCACGTGCATTATGATAATACATTTAGATACCTTGAACGTATAATGAAGTTCAGTTAAAGGCATAATTTTTCATCTCACAATGACACGACAACACGTATAGAAACGTCGTCGGCATAATACGTTGTGACCCAATCATATGGATATCTTAACACTAAAAGTGACAGAACGTTATTTTCACGTTGGACGCATAGGTACGTTGTGATGGTACTGCTTGTCGTTAACATAATATGATGTGCCAGAACGTATCTACACGTTGGACGTTATTACACGTTGTGTCCCTATACATCTAGTTTTACATTACTTTTAATGACACAACGTATTTATACGATGACGTGATAAAACGGTTCTGTCACGATGTATTTAAAACAATATTTTTTCATGGGACGCAACGTACTGATACGTCGTATAATTTTGTATACACATTTACTGTGTCATTTTGTTACACCGACTCAAGTGGTAGCGTCCGTGAACGTGTTAAAGGAAAGAATCTGTGCTATTTTTGGAAAAAAGTAAGAAAAGGCCAAAGGAAATGGTATATGTTTAGGGCATTTTGTTAACTGATAACAAAAGTAATTTTGGGTTTACAAAAGAAAATAGGTTTCATTTTCTTCTATACTATTCCATTTTCATACAAAATATCAAAAAATTTATACAAAAAAAAATTTTTCATGGTAATAGACAGGTTAAGCACATATTCCAATGAAAATATTATTAATTATATTTTAAAACAATAACAACAGAAGTCTTTGTGTTTTATAGCAGGTGTTTGCAATATTTATTTAGTCAGTATTAAAGATATATTATTATTATTTAAAAGTAATAGTTTTATCCTAGGTATGCCAGAATGTAGATCTAGAGGAGACATTGTGTATCTCATATACTGGATGTTAAGAAGTTAATGTATTTTTTAGTAAAATTTAATCAAAGTCCCAAAGACTGTCTCAATAACTGCAGTTATTTTGTAAATATTCAGTGCAGTTCTCTTATTAAAAAATAGAAAGTAACATAATTTTAACACTTATTTAAGTGGGTATTAAAAAAATAACTTCGATAGTTCAACAAAAAATATCAAAAAAGACTTGTTTCATAAATTAATAAAAAAGAGCACGAGCAACAACATCAGTTTCCAATAAACTAATTTTTTGAATTATAAAAACTAACACAGTCCATAATTAATAATCATACCTTATAATGATATAAAAAAAAATACTTACATAGGTATTTAAAATTACTTAAATATATTATCGAAGTAACTAATTAGATAGATGTATCAATTCAATGGCAGCTGGACATCTATATATATACCTCAATTTAATTGTTATTGTAATATTGATAAAACTGTTACCATGTATTAAAATTTGTTGTCTGGTGAGTGTATTTTGATATTGAGAACTCTAAAGGTTTTTTGGTTGATGTTGGAACTTCCTAGGTTCAAATATATCATTGATTTTCAATTCAAGCATGAATTTCATTTTATCAAACAACATTTTAGATTGGTAAGTGTTAAAGAACTAGCTTATATCATCAATTGATTTGTTGTAAATAACAATTATAGCAACATTAATAACTTTGTATTGTACAGTCTGAAACTCGCATAGCTCTAATCATATAAAATGTAAATAAATGACGAATGAAAACTACGCAACAGTGTGTACATATCTAAAAAAAGCCGACACCTTGACAAAACACGAGGTCAATACACTCTACTGCAATACCCATGTGACGTGAAGAAGAACTTACCTATGTCTATTAATTTATTTGACTTCATGATACTGTACCAATCAATATAAGCACGCCAAAATACCATTGTATAATAAAACGCTCATCACTGATATCATTGTATAATAAAACGCCCGCTACATTATTCAACTAAACACGAGCAAGTACTTAGTGTGGATAGTCACTTGTTGTACAATAGGAGCAGCAAGCCTCCTAAACAATTTAGTTACATCATAATTGATAACATGCAAGTTTGTAGGAAAATAGAAAATAGAAACCTAGAAAGTCTTACTAGCGTCACTGTAACTAACTACACGATAATAAAATATACGATTTCCTTACCGAGCCATGACCTGAAGTGAGGGGCCATGTATAAACAACAGGTTCCGCGCCTGCAGGAGAATGCAGGCGTAAATCCAAAGCCATGATAAGAAAACCACTGCATTAATGCACACACTTTTCACTTAAACACTAAAATAATCACTAAAAATTCTAGATAATAACATAATTTCACTGCACTTTCACACACACACACTCTGAACAACCGGGCGCCATGTTGAAATTATTTCTAAATTCCAATCATGGCGGCGTGTTGGTGTTGTTATATATAAAAAAGTAATAAGTAATATCTATTGTAGTACCAAAAATAGAAAAGCTAATAAAATATGACGTCAAAATGGTGAACATTCTTAAAATACGTTTCTTTGGATAATTTAAAAATGACAAATCGTAACTTCATGAAAATGGAAAATAGATTGACACCCAATCATTTTAATGGACAATGATCAGGATTACACAAACAATGATATTTAACAGAAAGTAGTCATAAAAGTTTTTATTAATGTAAAAATTAAAATTACAATTACAGTCCGTGCTTCTTACTTAACCTTTGTATGAAATCTCTGATTACAAAGATATAAAAAGTAACTTATTCGTCGTTTTCGTAATTTTTTCCGCTTTTTTCTTACAATCAAGATGTTATAAAATAAATGAATTACAATACTATCGTATTCGATTTGCCGCAATTTTTTAAATTGATTTCTAATGAATTTGTCTCTTAGTTATTGAATAAATCATAATTAGGCAGTCCACAACCCGTAGTTCAACTCGTAGTTACTTTAATCCGAAATAGAAAACAAAGATAGAATCGATAATCATAGATTATGTCTATGATGATAATGACGGTTTATGTATGTTTTTTATTTTCATTCATTGTCAATCTGACACCTCAAAATTGACAGTCAGAGTTTCTGAACCCAGCCTGTCTTTGTATTATTGACTATATTATTTATTATTGTACGAAATTGTTGTATAAACCACTAAAAATCAGTCAATAATTACATAAAGGTCGCAACAACTTAACAATAATGTCGGATTCTGAGGATGAGAACCAAGCAGTAAGAAGTTTTGAAGAAATTCACGAGGAAATCAATAAATATAAAAGAAACCCAGAAACATCGGGAATGTTTGTGTCTGGATGGGATGACGCAGATCAAGACGTCGAAGTTGTTAAAGATCCAAAAGGTTGTACAAAATATGCTATTGAAATACATGTAAGAAATTACTTATAAGTTAACACATATTAATTTTTTCTATTCTTTATTCAGCCAACCCCATTGATTATGTACTATGGGCAGCAGAGAATGGTGAAATCTGTATCTTGCGAGAATTACTGAAGAAGCAGCCAGGGTTAGTTCATGCTCAAGATAATGATGGGTACACACCACTACACCGAGCAGCATACAGTAACCATACTGATGTTATATCATACTTGCTGAGTATTGGAGCTAATATCAACACAAAAACACAACTTGGATGGACAGCTTTACATTCTGCTTCAAACTGGAATAATTATGTGGCTGCTGCAAGACTATTAGCTGCTGGTGCTGATCCTGGTGCCCTTTCTGATGGAGGTAACAACATTAACAAACTTTGTTTTTTTTTAAATAAATATTTACCCTTTTGTTATTTAGGACAGCAATGAAGTGCATATGACTATGAGTAAATGTATTGAACAAATTAGGTAACTAACTTTGGGCAAATTGTTATCTTCCTTTATATTAGGTCAAAAATAAATTAATTTGACATTACAATACAATAAAATATTGAATAAGAACTATACTTTCATTCATAGATCGATAAATACACTAAATTTCCGATATTTTTGAGCTAATTTTCAAGAAATAAGTAAGCTATTTGACTTGAAAATACTATGACGTCATAACTACATACAAATTTCATAGAAGTGTTGTTTTTGTCATTTGGATAAAAGTATTGAATTTGACTAGTTGGAAACTACCGTATTCTTGAAGATATGTGACAGATGACAGTGTCTATAAATAAGTATTCTTTTTTCAGGCCAAACTCCAATGCACCTTGCTGCAGCTATTAGTCACTGTAAGTCAACATTATTAATATTATTCTTAAGAGATGATACTGTAGACATTGCACATAAAACAAATAATGCACAGGAAACTCCAGAACAGTTGGCCCAAAGACATGGAATTTATGGTCCTCTCTTCGAGATGATGACCCCTGCAGTGTCATACATAAAATCCATATCATTTACATGTAATCCTTATTTGAGACAAAAATCTATATAAATAAAAAAATTGAAAACCATTTTTATTTTTCCTTTATTTCTTTAACCATAATAACTTATAATCTGTAGCATAACTTAGTTCCTTTTAAATCTAAGCATATAGTAATTTTTTTTTATTATAACAAACAGCAGCATGAGCTATTTACTTAAAATATTTGTTATTATATCCAAGCTATAAATATGTAAGAAATTTGTTAAATAAAAATGCATACATGTTTCTTAAATGTTATACATTCTATAATTACTTTATTAATATAAATGTAAAAACTACATCAACATATAAGAGCTAGACTTGCATTGTCACAGACAAGTTGAATGTAATTTTATTTGTAAGACAAAATCACAGAATAATATTATAATTTAAATAAACAACAATTCTTTACTTTTTACATTCCATATAATAATTATTTTCTATTTAGCAGGTTCTTTCTTTCGATATTTTGATGAATTTAGGGCAGTTCTTGACATATGTTTCATTATAGAAGTATGTAAATAAACAGATCCCTAACTTTTATCTGTAAGTTCTTGAGGCCATTCTCTCAATAACATGCATTGCTCCAGATACCAAGTATGTATCATTGTGTAAATTTTTCAAACTAGCAATTAGATTTCTTCTATCAATCTTCTGTAATTCAGATAATGATTGCCTTGTCTCAGTAGTCATGTATGGTAAAATTAAACAACCTAATCCGAATATTTTACACCTTACACAGTTTTTCCAAATCTCTACTAAATCTTCGTCTTTTATTATAGGGCAGATAGGTAATAAATTAATAGCATTTAAACATTTCACCCTTTGACGTTCAGTAATTGGGTAGTCAGCACGTTGAAATGGGGATAAAATGACGGCACGCCATGCAGTACATATCGTACTGTCAAGTTGAGAAGTAAGTTTCAGTAATAATGGAATCATTTCTTCATATAACCCCGTACGTAACAAAAGTGGAATAAGACTGCGTAATATATGCGAAGAACCGAATTTGAGAGCAAGTTCAGCAGCTGTTTTTAATCCATCTGCATTTCCCTCTGTAGCCTGAAGTAGTTGTTCCAAACCCCGAACTTTGTCGTGCATAAATGTAGCTGCTATCCACGGCATATCAATGCTCTCTAAGCTAACAACACTTAATAATTCTAAAAGCGACATCCATAATGCATCCCTTTCACGGTTAGCTACTTTAATGGCTGTATCAGAGTCTACTACACTCATTAAACATTGAAGAGCTCTTAATTTCTTGGACTTATTGTTGTCACTCTCATCATCAAAAGCAATGCGGGACAGATATATAGCACCCATTTTGGGACAAGTTGCTTTCAGAATATATTTGGCAGTCATTAATTCTTTAATGTTTAAAACTGTAACAGCCTTGTTGTCTCCATTAACTTTATCAAGAATATTTTCTAATATTTGAATTCTTATAGAGCTTACATTGATGCCGTTTTTATCTGCGATTTCATTCACAGCGCGATTCACATCATGACGGCTCATTTTGGAAATAAAATCTGGATGTAAATATAAATTGCGAATGAGCTGTGCTGGTTCTGTAGAAAGTCTTACAAGTTCTTCACAAGCCCAGTCAATTTTATACAAAGCATGTCTAGTAGATAAAGTCGCGTGTAGACGTTCCATTTGTCTAACAGCACGATTGCCAGGTTGGAGAGCAGCCCAGCGCTGTGCAAATTGATAACATAGATGAGCAGCAGCGACTTGATCTGCTCCTCGAGCACATCCTTGTAGCACATAGAAAAGACATGCTCCAGCCCATTCCATATTAGCGATATGTCTAACACATCTATGTGCTGCACGTAACAAAGGTTCTTCTTGGCTCGTTAGGCGCCATGGTTCATTTTTAGTGTCGGATTCTAGTTCATCGTTGCGCTTTCGTGACGTCATTGTTTGCTTGACTGCGTTACTACAAATCATATCTTTTGCTGTTTGCGAATCAGCATCAAGCGCAAGCAAGGCGACTGCAGGAATCCAACGTTCGTACGTTTCTAAAGTTATTTCCGACTTCAAATTAGCCCACATATCTTCTCGCATGAACAGGTGAAAAGGTAATCTAAAATGCCCAATTTCGGGAAACATGCCCTTTACAGAGAATAGTTCGTACTCGTATTGTTTAGGAGTACTTTTACGTTTATAATCTTTGAGGAAATGTAGTAAGAAGTATTCTTTCGTATTCTTTACCTCGATAGTTGTGCCAAAAATTAATCTGTAAATACAAAGGAACACTTCATAGTAATATGGATTTATGGATACCGCGCGACCATGTAGAGTGACTTCGCCATTTTTCCAAAAATCATTCAGTATATCTCTCAGAAATTCTTTATTTTCTATGCTATCCCAAACAACAAAACATTTGTTTAAATTACTTTCGTCATTTTCTACGACCATTTGCCTGTGCCCTAATTCGTCTGTGAATGTTTTATACTTTAATTCCCAGGTCGAAAGCAAAGCTATCAACTGTAATGATAGACCATCGTTTGTAGAGACATTTAAAGCACGACATAATTCGACCAGCCGGTCGAAATTAGTATTTGGATATTGGAGCAGAACATAGAATAATATAACTTTGACATCCCAAGTTTCTTCGCTGTTATCAGGTAATGCAACATCTGCCAAATTGATGTTAAATTTCGATTTAAGTACGTATTGGGGAGGATATGATACAGAATTTCCAATTTCTTTACAAAATGAATCATTATCCAAAACAAAAGTGCGACGCATAGCAGGTAATGAAAGGTAGCCAAGAATGTTAGGCGGTAAAAACTCATTTTGCCCCCTCAGGACTTCCAAAACACAATTATTTTCGTCATAACTTTTTATGACAAGTAATAAACTTGTCATCAATACTTCATCAAGTTCTTGGTTTGCTACTTTACACACTAACTTCTTTGTTAACTCAAACTTCAGATGTTCCCATGTTTTATTAGTTATTTCAGGATTAACTACAGAGTTAGATACCAGTCGTAAGGAAGTGAAGTCACATTTGCTGTGAATACTTGAAAATTCTTTATCAAACTTTTCGGGATACTGTGTAATTTTATAGAAGTTAATTAATTCATTAATAGCTGTAGTAGATGCAATAGGCAAAAATATGTAATGGAATTTCCAGGCTATTGACAAATTCTTTACAATAATACTGGCATTTATAAGATTGTGTAACAAAGACAATTGTTTTATTAAATTGTGCAAATACTCTTCATTACAATTAAGAGCCAACTCAATTAATACATTGTAAGAATTTAACAAAAGATCCGAATTCTCCCCAAATTTAAATTGTGACAAGACTGTTATAAAATCTTCAACACAAACATCTTTTGTGGAAAATGATCTTAAAAGATATTCAACAACCAACCGCACTTGTTGGCAGGTGGATGTACTTCGTAACAAACCAATGAGCACAGAGTGTTGAGACTGACATGAATGTATTAATTGAATAACACTTCCACCACGCCCAGAACTGGCAGAAGTACCATCTTGGTGTATCCAATTACTTACTGCAGTTTCACAAACTCTTTCATTGTAAATATCATTCATATTTAATAACAAATTATAAGAATTTTTGAAATTGTATAGTGTATCAATATTTTTAATTTCAATCTCATTTAAAAGCTGTGTTCCTTTTAAGAAGTCTATGTAATTCCTTTCAATGGTCATATTGTTAGTACCTCCACAAATAATTTGATCATACTTGGCCATAATAGCTTTGAGTAGCAATTTTTTTTCCTTTGTGTTTAAACTGTTGAAATAATTTAGTGCTGTTCTGGTTTCACAATCTTGAAGGCATCTTTCAATATATAGAGTGTTGCCATAATTTGCATAAACAGGCATAACACCTGTTATTGATTTAAGATCATCCAATTCTATTACTGCAGCACTTACAATTTTATGCAGGACTAACATGTAATCAGTACATGTCATTGGAAAATTATATTTTTTTAAAACCACTTTTACATTTGCATAGTTAATTTCTTTTTGTATTTCTTGAGAGAGCAATCTTTCTGAATCAGACATTGTAAATGTTCTGGTGGCATTGGCCACAGTTGATACTGCCAGTTCAAGTACACTAGAGTTCCAAGGCACATCTAATACTTTTAAAACTTGTAGTAAGCATTCAAGTTTGTTATTGTATGAATGAAAATTTTCTAGCAAAATCTGCAAGCGTACACCATCAATTCCACCACCACTACTAGCTGCTTCACTTTCTATGTATGAACTTAAAATTTCATCCAAATCAAATAAATTTTGCATTGCATATGACGGTAAATAATTTTCTAAAAATGTTTTGAGATCTTCAGTATAGCAGCGCCGTAACATTATTAAAGCCACTTCATTTGGACTTTGGGAACTCAATTCATTCAGGAACATATTAATTCTGTACTTGTCTTTTAATTCCATTATGTATATTATTCTTGTTTTTAGTGTATCAAGATCATCCATAGATATAGGTCTTAAAGAAATAGATTTCAAAGATGTTTCCAGTATGACTATTACTTCATCTACAAATTTCAATCCAATCTTTGGCCAAAATGTTGACTGTTCTAACATAAAAACCCTTTCACTAGCCCATCTAGTGAATAAATCAATGAAAAATGGGTTTTGTTCTAATAATGATGGAATAAAATTTTTCAACCAAATTAGTATGGAAGATAATTTAGTACTGTTGTTGATAGCATTAAGAATATTACCAATATCATCAGGAGTAATGGACAGTTTTAATTGAGAATATTTTAGCCAGCAAATAGATGCAATATCGAAATCACATTTGGATATAAATACAACACAAAGTTGTATGCAGTTCTGATCAAAAACATTGACATCATCATATGAACTATTGCCTGTGAAGTGGATATATTCAATTAAATCTATTTTAATTGACAAATCACTTACCATGTTAATTAAATCAGTGTCTTTGGTTATGCAAATTTTCTTTTGAAGTGAGTATAACAATGATTTAAAAGCAATATTAAGTTGGCAGAGTTTTTGAGTAATTTCTATAAGAAAAAGGTAATCATCAATAGCTTCAAATATAGGTTGGAGTTGTGGTAGAACAGTTCCTGGTTTAGTAATGGCTGTGATTGTGTCAATCAAATTCTTGAGTTGAGACTTGAGGGTGTCTTGAGATGTGAGTGTTTGGTTAAAACTATCTGAATAATCTGCTATTCCAGCCTGCTGAGAATGAGCAAATCCAGCACAGTGTACTTGTATCTGAAAACATACATCCATAATCATTAAAAAACAGCAATCAACATGGACACTTTATGTAAAATATAAAGATTGTAAGTTTTACAATTATAAAATTATGTAAGTATAAGAAAACAAGAAAGCTTACCTCTTCATTGTTCCACATCAGAAAATAAAATAAATCATTATGTGCCAAAACTGGGTAATAGTATGCCTCAGACTTTTCAAATTCATAAATTGTTTGTGAATCTCTCAAATTGATAATCCACATTTTGGTTTCATTTGCTATAACAGCCTGATCCTTCCAAGCAACAATATGATTTAAATTTACTCCTGAAGAAACTGCTTCCATTAGGCCAGTTATAGGACATTTCACCATTAAAACTCCTTCTTCAATGAAAACATTTAACCCACATATTGTATTAAATTTTGCTTTGATACTAGAGTGAGACACTTGAGCTTTCTTGAAGGGTACAGAGAGTTCGTTTCCACCATTTTCTAATTTTTTTAACAATTCTGAAGTGTGTATTGGTATTATGAAAGTATCACCACTTTCACTAATGAAGTATAAATGGTCACCAATTCTCCCAACCATACAGATCTTCAAGCTGGTATTGGAATCATTCGTGATTCTAATTTGCAAGTCTTTTAACACATCTATTGCAATAATATCACCAGACTTTAATACAAGCAAGATGTAATGTTCGAACAATATTTTGTCCACAATTTCTTGTTCAAATTTGTGTTTGACACGATTTTCTTCATTGTTACTTAGCAAATTTGTAATTTCAATACAGTTTTTGTTTCCAAAAATTATCAATTTTGGGTACAGAAGTTTAGCTTCGATGTTATTCAGATAACAAGTAGTATTTAGTTTCTTTACCTGAGACAATATTATTGACATGATTGCACAAATCTGTGTATTATAGCTTCACAGCAAAAATTAAAAGTCCTTCACTTTGTTTTACTTCGGTTTCAATTCAAACTTCTACATTCGTGCCTAACGTAAATTTACGTCATAGACGTCACATCTGATACAGACTGACAGATCAAAATGACACATAACATTTTATTTTTTCTTGTTGGCAATAAGAGTTTATTTTAGTCGATTGTTGTTACTATAAAAATCGCCAATTTATAATCTTGTTATGATGATATATTTTAAGAAATTAAATTATTTTTTACAGTTGAAAAATTTAGGATATAAAATATACTGATTTCCGTATTTTAAGCGTTTTTGTTTTAAAAATCCCGGAACATGTAGGTACATAACTTTTACAGATATAAACAAAAAAAAAACAGAAATATTACTTTTCCGAATCCCAAAATGGAATATTGGTTTTCAGAATGTGAAATCTGGCATTTCAAAATAATGACCATTTCTAAATTCTTTACCACATAATCGTCAAGGGTAAGCATAGGTTCTACCAAGTTTGCGGTTTTTGAAAATATCTCTGGGATTTTAAAAGTCGATGCGAGGAATTGTAGGTAGAATAACCGTACGGAAACGACAGATTAGAAATAATTAAAAATTTCAATAACATTGTTAGAAAATTTATTATTATTACCTAGGACATGTTAGGTTTTCTTTTTTGAGGCTTTGATTTTAATCTTCTTTTTATCTCTAAAGATTTCTTCACTTTTGTATCTATTTCAGCATGAATTTGCCTTTTGGTTTCACTCATGGCATGTTGATAACTGCTTGTGAGGCGATCGAGAATATCAGCTTCGATTTCTATTTGAGGTATTTCAGCCTTTCCACCACCTTGTATGATTTCCTGTAAAAAAATGATTTATTGGAATTGTTATTAAAATCGAACTCTTTTATTTAAAGTTAACTCGCGCACTGTTTAGGAATGACGCATAATATTGAGGAACATTTTAGATTGCCAGTTTTATTAATAATACAATGGAACACTTATAACAATAAAAAATAACTAAGTACCTTAAATTGTGTTACTTGATTCTGTAACAGAATAGTAACTGCATGACCACTACGTCCCGCTCTTCCTGTGCGACCAACTCTGTGAATGTAGGTCTTGATATTTCTTGGAGGATCATAAGAAATGACGTAGTTACAGTCTGTTATATCAATACCTCTCGCTAAAGCATCAGTACCAATTAACCTGAAAAAAGGTTGAAAGATATTAAATGTTTTGATAATATTTATTTATTAATGTGGTTAGCATGATTGTTACTTTAAAATACTAATTTATACCTATAATATACCAAATCCATCTACTTACACATTAATTTCAGATTGTGTAAACTTTTTCAACACACTTTCTCTTGTGGATTTATCTAGTGCAGAAGAGAGTTCTGCAACTTTAAATGCTCCATTACTCCAAGTGTTAAGAAGTACAGATAATCTGTGTGCTGCTTCAGCTGCATTAGTAAAACATAAAACTTTGTCCCATTTTTGATCAGCTAAGAAATGATATAGAATCAATGGTTTGTGCTCAGCATCACAAGTAACATATTGTTCTGTCAATTCTTCTGGTGTAGCGTAAAGTCTAATTTGGTCTTCATCTTCATAACTGTTTGACTTGGCAGCAGAAAATAATTTTGGTTGGAATAAGCCCCATTGTTCTAATTTTTCAGGGTCCTGAGATAAAGTTGCTGAAAATAATAGTTTATGGGGTGGTGGCTTTTGTTCTATAAGACTAGACCATGTTAAATTAGAATGACGCCCAGTCATTAGTTCATTCTCCAATTTGATGTGTTTGTCAACATGATATAGCCAGTCATTTTGAATGTGATCCATTATTCTGTCTGCTTCATCAATGACTAAAAACTTTAAATATTTTAGAGAAAACCCTTCTGTATTTTGTAGATGTTCTACTAGCCGACCTGCTGTGCACACTACTATGTCTGCTTCACTCACCCACCCAGATGATTCCGCTGGAATCAGTAAAATGTTATGTTATACTAAAGACACTGAAATACTAATTATTTGAATGTATTCATTTAATATTCACTTATACTTACTGTATCTAACAAGAGTCTGCTGTTCTTGTTGTAGTGGTGTGGATCCACCCAAGAGGGCTACTTTTAATTTTGTTTTCAAACAGTATTTTTTGAAAACTTTGGCAACTTGAGCTGCCAATTCTTGCACTGGTAAAACAACTAATGCTCTTATATGACAACCAATTTCATTCATAAGTATCTGAAAGATAGACAGTTTAAGGTTTATAGTTACAATTTGCTTTGTAAATGTTATTAATTAACTAGATTTTTTTTATACCTGAACTATTGGCAACACAAATGACAGTGTTTTTCCACTGCCGGTAGGAGCAGAAACACAAATATCATGAGGCCAAAATGGATAAGTTAATTTATGTTGGTCTAAAATAAAAGGCACCACTTTTTCTTGCACTGGAAACAAGGTAGTGACACCTTCACTTTGTAATGTTGATTTGAGTGTAATGTGTAGCCAGTCTTGATCTTCTACTTTACATGATGAAGATTTTAAACTAGTAGAAATATTAAATGGGTGTGAAAGCCAAAATGGCAGCACTCTTGAAACCTAGAACAAAAAGTTGCACAATACTTAGAAACTAACTTGATATAAAATATTACCTAGAACTCTGTACATGGTTAATGTAGAATATATATAAATATATCAACCATACCTTAGCTTTCTTTTCGAAATCATTAACACCTAATACTTTGAATTCTTGCGAGGGCTTAGCTCTCTTTTTATCTGGTTTCTGAAAAGTATCGGTAATCTTATCGGTCTTGGGCTCTTCGTCAATTTTAGGAGCCTCCTTGTTATCTTCAGTATCATCTTTTTGGAGAACTTCTTCTTTTTGTGGTTTGAGTGTTATAACATCAGAAGTCCTCTTTGATGCATACGCAGATTTTCGTTCGGCAATCTTTTTCTTCAACTTCTCTAAATGTTTTGCTTCCTGTTCTGCAATATCTACTACTGCATTTTCTTCTACATCTCGATATCTTAAATAAATGAGAATTTTACATGTTGTGCTAGAAAACGTCTAAATAAATAAATAACTTTCATTTTAACTTACCTATTAATAACAAATAAGTCCATGATCACCACGTGATTATCAATTTATCAATGATCATAGGAAATACCACTAAAATTATAAAACAAATAGTCGAGCAACTTGGACATAACCTTAACGGTCCAATCAAAATAATATGACATCAAACCAGCATGATGTTGACGTTTATTCATATTCTGGTATTCTAGACAGCTGTAAGGTACGAGTCTTTTGAGTAGTTCATGCATGGTACATGGTACTCCATGAGTATGTCATGGAGGAATTCAATCTTTATACTCTAAGTTATAAGTGCCCACTTCTGAGTAAAGCTTCTTGCACATACTTGCCCAAGGCTGATCAGTGATTTCAAACTTATAATAAGTAATTAAAACGCTAGGTTTAACGACGTTATCCTTCACCGTTAGTGGTGTCTAAATATAAAACAATGATTTTTCAAATAAACCACATAAATACTTATACATTCTTATTACAAAACGTTAAAATATCTGTACAATTCTATTAATGAAAAATGACTTACTAACTACCGTCATGGTGTCTTGGTAGACTGGGTGCTAAACTGAACATTCATCATCCTGCACATCTTACCGGTAGCCATGAGAAATGTTTCACTATAGAGTCTAGAGTTAGAAAAAAAATGTACAAATATTTCCTAGTAGTCACTATTGCTAAACTTTTATTATAGCCTGAGATAAAGGCATAGCTGATAAAATCGACTACAGTCGATTGATAAATAATGATGAAAACATAGTGTAAATCGATAAGATTTTGACAAGTCGTTCGTAACTTTATCCTATTTTGTCTATACAATTTTAGCGAAGCACCACGAAGCAAGTTTTCGATTCGTCGCTTTTATTTCCCGAATAATCATTCAAATGTTTTTTCTTCACCAATTACTCATGATAAATTCTTAACTTTATCTTTATTTGGTTTTTGTAGATTTCTATTGTGATTCCAGAGACTGAACACATTACAAAATGGCTAGTGTATCCTATCAAATTGCAAATCTTCTGGAGAAGGTAAGCCGGCGTTCTATTGAAAACACTGTAGAATTTTATTATTCTAATTGCCTATAATTTTTAGTGTAAATATCGAAAATGTTTTCAGATGACCTCCAACGACAAAGACTTTAGGTTCATGGCTACTAATGATTTGATGACTGAATTACAAAAAGACAGTATTAAGCTGGATGATGACTCTGAAAGAAAAGTGGTGAAGATGCTCCTCCGTCTTCTCGAAGACAAGAACGGTGAAGTGCAAAATTTAGCTGTGAAATGGTATGTGTGTGTTTTGATTTGAATAAAGTTGCAGTTGTGGGGAGGAATAATAAATATTTGAATGTTTTTCAGTCTCGGCCCACTTGTGAACAAAGTAAAGGAGTATCAAGTGGAAGGTATTGTGGACACTCTGTGTGCTAACATGCTGTCAGACACTGAACAACTACGAGATATCAGCAGCATTGGGTTGAAGACCGTCATTTCTGAATTACCCTTAGGTTCTAATACTTTGGCTGCAAATGTGTGTAAGAAAATTACTGGTAAACTAAGCAGCGCTATTGAAAAGGTAAATAATCAGTGGTTTATTTTAAAGGTGTTGTGTAAGATTATAATTTGTTATGATATTAGAGTAAAAATAATAATATTAAAGTTGAGATAAAGCAAACTAAATACTCGTTATTCTTATAGCAGTGAGGTCAAATGTTCGAAATTGAAATTAGGATAAATTGTTTCTTTCAAATAAATTATAAGACCAAATGAATAAAACAGTATTCAGTCATATACAATTTTAATCAAGTTTAACATGAAACATTTTTTTTTTATTGCACAAATTGTCTTATTTACACCTTTATTGGATGAGAGTGTATAGTGTGCTAAAGGTACCTTCAGAGACATCGACCTTACAGCAGTCTTAAGAGATTATCTTTCTGTGATTGGTTGCATGTTGTAGTAAAAATATTTTCTCATTCTATTGTGAAATAATTCTAACAAGATTTTAATATTTTAGCAAGAAGATGTCTCAGTTCAGCTTGAGGCTCTGGACATACTCGCTGATCTGCTGAGCAGATTCGGTGGCTTGCTGATAACCTTTCATCCAATGTTGCTAAATTCTCTACTGCCACAACTAGCTTCTCCACGACAGGTAAATGTTAAGTCTTTTAAGGCCCTAACAATTTGTAAAAAGAAACTTTATGAGTAACATGTCTTTGTAACAGATTAATGTTTTTATTTCCAATCATTAGTTTCATACTAAACCCAAACTCATTTGTACAGGCTGTACGTAAACGCACCATAGTTGCATTGTCACATCTGGTTATGTCTTGCAATGCATCTCTCTACAATAAACTTATTGATCACCTGCTGGAAGGGCTGAGTTCCTCCACATCATCTAGTGTCAGCCGTACTCATATACAATGCATTGCATCTATTTGGTAAGAAGACTTTAAACAATTTTTAAATAGTTTTAATGTTGGAGTATGTACAGGTTGTTTATTAATTAGTTGATGTTATAGTCGCCAAGCAGGTCACAGGTTTGGAGAGCAGCTATGGCGTGTGGCCCCACAAGTTCTGGAATATTCAACTGATGCTGATGAGGAACTCCGTGAACATTGTCTGCAGGCACTTGAAGCTTTTGTACTTAAATGTCCCAAGGAAGTGCAGCCTCACATCCCTACGGTAATTATTCGCGTTTTATTGTACTTATTGAAGACAAAACATTGTATTGTATGATAAATAAGATGACTCACATTTGAACTTTGCCAGTCATGTTACAGATATGAAGCAAATATTTTGAGAGAACTTTTTAGTAATCAAGTAACTCATCTTACAATTTCTTATTTAATAATGATTTTCTTCTAGATTATTGATCTTTGCCTCAAAATGATCACATATGACCCTAACTATAACTATGAGGATGAGGAAGAAGATGGTGGTGGTGAGGATGAAGAGATGGAAGATGAGTCATTCACACCTGATGCTGAACCAGAATCTGATTCCGAGGAGTACTCTGATGATGATGACATGTCTTGGAAGGTATATTCAAAATATTGATACAATTCTGTTGGAAAAAAGTGTTTTATAATGAATATAAAATTTCTGATAGAGTATTTATTTCTATGTTCTCATAATATTGAAATGATGTAGATTTTGATACAAATAATTCAGAAAGTAATAAACTTACTTTAAACATTAACGTGTTAAAAACAAGTGGCAGGTACGAAATATGAAACACAAAGAAATAACAGTGAGTTATTTATTAACATTTGCAGGTGAGACGTGCAGCAGCTAAGTGCTTAGAATCAGTCATCGCAACGCGTCATGAGCTCCTCGGAGAAATGTATCAAACAGTGTCACCTGCTTTGATTGCTAGATTTAAAGGTATGTGAAATTTTTATTTATATTAGGTAATTGGCTTCTTGACGCTGCTTTTTCCTTAAACTGAAATAAATTATACTTTCTATTAAATCATTCACATCACAAAGAAAAACGGAACAAAGTCTGTCATTTTAGAGATTTGTAGGTCTCCTTTAAAGATCTATGCATATATTATAGGGGTATGACTGCACGGTTGGCGCAGTGGCTGGGCAACTGGCTGCTGTGCAACGTGTCGCGGGTTCGATTTCCCCACGGAACAACACTTTGTGTGATCCACAAATTGTTGTTTCGGGTCTGGGTGTGTTGTGTATGTGAATTTGCGTGTTTGTAAACGCACCCACGACACAGGAGAAAATCCTAGTGTGGGGCAACGTTTTTTTTTTTAAAATAAGGGTGTGGACAGCTAGAAGCGATTTAGTTTTTACTGTGTAGAGATATCAGTAACTGATAGTGTGTATTTCTTTGATTTAGAACGCGAAGAGAACGTGAAATGCGATATTTTGAGTGCATACACCGCTCTGTTGAGAGCCACTAGACCACCTCCAGCGCTACAAATTACTATCGTGCCTACAGACAACTCACCGCAAGCTCTCTTGTTGCAAAGGGTAAGTAGATGTTTATATTATGAAGAGATTGAGGTAGAAGCAAAAATTATATTGTTTTGATTCAAAAGTAATCCTCAGCTTTGATATTTATACAAATTGTTATTTTACATAAGTTTAAGTGTTTGATTAGTATTATAAAAAACCGCAACTGTATAAAGTGTTAATGGTTTTTTGTAATCTTAGCTTTGCGCTATTTTTATATTGTCAAGTGCAGTTGATCACATTGTTGAATTATATTCAGTATAATTTTGAGGTTGCATGACGTGTTTATCGTGTAGGTATCGGGAGTAGTGCGCGGAGCACTGCGTGTGATCCGCGGTCGCAGCATACGGGCGCGCGGCGCGGCGCTGGCGCTGCTTCGCGAACTGCTGGCGGCGGCGCCCGGCTGCCTCGCTGACCACGCCGCTAGAGTCATCCGCGCCCTCACCCCTGCACTCACGTACGGATATTTTTACTTATTTACATTTTTTGTTGCAAACGAGGTTACTTCTTACTTGATCGTAATAATCGGCGCGCGCCGGCCAGGGATATCCGCAACTCTAGAGGAGTTACTTGCCTGGTTTTTGGGACATTGGGTTTTGGAGATTTTGGGATTGGGGAATGATGGGGGAAGGGAAAGGATTGAGTTTTCAGTAACATCACACGACGAAACAACGTTGATTTTTGACGCCGGTTTTCTGTGAGGCCGTGATATCGATTTGGTCCAGCGGATCATTCGTGCTAAAATTAGCTCTCCACACTAGTGATTTAGCGTATTCTATTTATTGCCTTGTCCTTCTCATGTACTTATGAGTCATCATATTCTTGACCATTATGCTAAGTTATTCTGGAGTGGTGTAGTGTATTTTTACTCCTCAATTGTCATCCCACCTTACTCCCTTCTCTTTCACTATGAACAAAATATGTCTGTTTCCTCACAAAATCTTCCCATCGTTTTTATCCTATCTATCTATAAATCGATTGTCAGTTTTTTCCTTCCATTATATATATATAACAGTGGCAGAATGAAGTGTATCTCTTTGTAATTGAAACCCACTTGATTCCAACAGCGACAAGAGCACGGCGTCATCAATGAAGATAGAAACCTTAGTGTTTGTGGTGTGCTTAGTCCGCGGTCACCCTGCATCGACGATGCGTCCGCATGTCGGCGCGCTACTGCCCGCCGTCTTGTGCTGCGTT